AAAATCGAATAATTTCGATCAACGAATTTTGTTCAACACCAATCATGTTGAGGGAGAATTTTTTTTAACGTTGATCACTACGACTGTCGGTCCGCTGATCTTAAAAACAAAACTACCATTTATGTTCGCACCTTATTTTGCGATTTAAATTTTTCATGGCTGTTCCAAATCATACATATCTTTGCGAAAAATACATTTCTATCAACTGATTGATCGCGTCTACTGATCAACTATAATTTCATGTGAGAACTGACCACATTTATCACCAAAACTATTGTACGTACAAAATACAATTTTGCGCGACTGCTATTTTGTTTTGTAAAACGTACGTGAATAATAGTAATATTATCGCGATTATCGTATTCAATAATACATAACACGTTTGAATTTAATTAGTATGAACAAAAACTTTGTTATATATATATATACATACTATTTACAACAATGCGAACTACACAAGTCGTATAGATCAACATCACACGATAAAATAAACATGTTCTCGTAAACGGACTTGTTTGTATAGGCGGTGGAATATTCTAGAAGACGCGCGCGTAGAACATTCTCGAAGCGATAAAAAAGTTACCCCCTCGTAACGCTCTCGTTTCTTCGTCCTTGCACCGGCGCTCGCATCGGATCTCGAATGTTTCATGCGCGCGGCCGTTCGAGAACATTGCACCGTAACAATATACCAATGTTATTAGAACAAAACATGTCAAAGCATATCTACGGATGGTCACTACTCTGCCACAGAGGCATATTGAAATCGGAAAAGAAAAAAATCGATTACAATACACAACACGTTGAATGATGATTATTTTCGGTGATCCTCGATAGCCGCGTGTGTCCTGCAGGTAAATCGCGTTCCCGATCACCGTGAGGCAATCGGACCCGGACGGACGGACGATGTGTTGCTTGCGATACCGATTGTGTACGGTTCTCGGTCGACGTGAGCCATTTTTAAGACTCGGGGGCGTATAATTCGTCGATAATGTTCGTGATGTTTCGAAACAAGCGGTTAATCGGCTTACGGTTTCATTGCGGTCCGTTGTAGCAACGCGTGTTGGAATCGTTTTGGTCCGTTTTATTCCGGCGGCGAATTAAAACAATTTATCATATAAACACGTTTACAACACAGAAATTCGTTTAAACGGTTCTCGTGTCCCGTTGCGCACCGTGCACGACACACTTATTGCACTGGGAAATCTCGAATGAGCACGACGAAAATACAATGCAAAAACAAAGCGGGCCGCGACCAGTCCGATTACCAGATGCGTTTTTCGTGCGCATTATTTCGCGATGTATCATGTCAGGACTGACGTTGTGTGTTTTGAACCGGGAAAATAAAAATGTTGACGATTGCAAAAATGATAACGCAGATACGGAAAATAACATAACTGGTCGTCAGACGTTTATAAACGTTTTTTTTGTTGGGAAATTTCATAGGGTCTTCGCTTCTCAGACTACACTGATTTCCTCCAAACAAGAACATTGACTGCGGTTAAAACCGAACCATCTAGAGCTGATCAAAATGTATCATATTATCTCGTAACCGAATTTAATGAAAATTATTTAGTAGTACATAAATTGCGTTGAATTACAAGTTGAATATCAGAAAAAAATAATCGTTTACATGTAACCGTAATAGGATATTATAATATGTAAAATATAATGTTGATATACCGTTGTTCGTTAAATGTCGAAACAAATTAAGTAATTCATTTTATTAATTATTTACAGTCAGTTTTTTTTTTTCGAAGCTCAGTTTTTCATTTTGTAAATTTAAAACTATTATGTAAATTTTAGTAATTAATTGTAATATATCATTGGCATTATGATAATGACAAAAGTGGTCTACACGCTCAAACCGGTAAAACTGTGTCCATTTCTCATCAAAAAAATCACATCAGGAATTCAATTATTTATTTGAAGATATAAAAAAAGAAAAATTAGTAATTTCACGCTTCGTTTAATTTAATAATCGCAGATATTCTCAAGTACCAACCGATTAAAATAAAAATAAATATATAATGCAATTGAAGTCCCACGTGGACCGGTTGGACCACGTTCATAACGGTGTTTTCTGTAAGACGAGTTATTTACTCACCGTTTCTTTTCATTAAATATTTATTTTCGGCTGAGATGTGTTTAAAACGTTAGCAGTTTTAAATTTTTCCTGCAAGATCGTTGACCCATAAAGTAAAGTCCTTATTCCTACGGTGGATAGTGTCAAGTGAACTCCGTGCATTTTATTTCTAGTTAATTGCGCTTAACTATTTATGTGATTACATTTTATTTTATCTACGTGGGTTGAGCGTACTCAAAGTACTTTTTACGTTATTTTATATTTGAATATGTTCCAGTATCGATTTACAAATGTTTTTCATAAGCACTTGATTAGTATTCTGATTTCTAATGATTGTATACTTGTCGAGTTAATAATTACTACAAAAATTTTTCACAGATTCTAAAACCAATATAATATAATCCATTTAACTGTTAAAATTCAATTCAACGTTTTAGTTTTGTGCAAAAATTTCAATAGAAGTTATTAATTTTTAGGAAATCAAATTATTTATCGACACCATTGTTAGCCGTCCGAAGAAAATATTTAATAATTATTATTAGGTATTTATATAACCATGTTAAAACGTCTGGTTGTATTTTATTTGAATTTATTTTATTTCAATACGAAACTTGTCCAGCGGTTGATTTAAAAAAATAATTAATTTAGTTAGCAAGTCAGGACGTAAGTTTTCTTCTTTCCGAATGAAATAAATCAATTACGCAAAATATAATTTATAATTAATAACGAATTTTCATACTTATACGTATTCCTATTTAATTGTGTTAATGTTAAAAGTTCGATTTATTCTATTGAACTCGTACTACAATAACGGTGATACGAGTATCTGAATGTGTACGATTCGCTATTTTTTCCCCCGTGTTTTATAACGAGCGGTGTTCCTGTTTTTTTTTCTTCTTTTCTTAACACGCACGCGCGTTTTCGTTGTTACCTAATTTCATTTTCCATGTACGCGCATAATCGATTCAGTTACAGTTCTGTGTTATAAACAATATATAATAACAAGCATTAATACATGTATTTTATAGTTTGACAACTGTAAACGTAGTAGTGCGTATGTGTCCGACGACCAATCAACACTACGGGGTTTAAGTGGGCGATGGAAATTATCTACGGAAAACACGCACGTACATAATGTTACGTCGACTTACGTGATTTATCCGTACTCGCACGTACAGACGTGTTATAACTGCTGTAACACAATCGAAACGAACTGCACGAGTCCAGGTTTTCGTTTTTTTTCCCTCCTCGTGTAGACCAATTATTGAGAAATATTGATCGAATGTGACAATCGTATACACACTCAATCTATTATGCATCACTTTCGTAGACGCGCACACGTACGTGCGGGTATTTACGTCGATCGATTTGCGTTCGCACTCGTCCAAAAACTATATTGTAATTATGTACCACGTACCTACGTGCGCGCGCGTGTCCTTCCTCGTAGAACGTTTGCGGTCTGGAAGCGCACGTGGAGATAAAACTTTAAAAAAAAACGAATTGTAATTTTTTTTCATTTTTTTCGTTTTTGTTGAAATTTTTATCTAAAAGAGGGGGAATACGCAATTTCCGATTAGTCATATTACATTACGTTGCTGCGTTGAGCGCGAGCTGTCCTTACTATTGCTGTTATTATCAGCTTATTATCGTTGCTCCGAAGATTTTCACCGAGTTCGGTGACAAATGTCAAAAAAAAAAAAAAAACCGTGCGAGTAACCGAGTAATATTATTATAAGTCCGGTTCGCCGAGAGAACCGTTGCCAACGAATATATGGGTCCGTCCGTCGAAAGGATAATCGCGCGACGAAGGTAAAAATATTTTACGCGAAATCATAACAATAATTCAACAAAGGATATATTTTTGTAAAAATTTAAAAAAATAACAATCGGAAAACCTTTTAAAATTATTATTTTTATGTGTCCTCAAGGAACGAGCCAACGTTCGTTTCGGTTTAACATTAGCACAAGGACGGTATTTCATGGAAACATAATAATATAATATATTATGTCCATTAGCCTCTTGAAAACGAAGAACGACACGAGTCGTTGACTGATTGCCATCATCCCGTGTATCGCCGAACGTTCATACACAAATTTAATACATAGTAACGCCTGCCAATTATTATATTATATTATTTGGCGGCGTAGGTACACGCCTTAGATAAACGAAAAAACATTATATAATACGTGTACATATAACAAAACAAATTGTACATCATATTTATTTTGGGATTCAATAAAATATGTACAGAATGTTTTAAGAACTGGACGCACATGTGTTGAAGTACCATATCAATGCATTGCAAGTTTGATCTACTCGTATAGATACATCATATTTTCATCCCGAACGAATTAAATGCTAAAAATTTAAAAATCGATTGAAAAATAATATCGAATAGATATTAGCGAATAGATAAATTTAAAATATTTCAATTAATTTTCCGTTTACAGTGTGTATTATATGATTTTATTATCATATAATATAAATTATTTTATTTTTTTATTTTATTATCCATTTTATCAATGAAACGATTTATAGACATAATTTTTCCGTGCAATCGCGAGCACATAAAATGTGACACTTTTTAGATTTTGGAATAACGTCAACGTAGAGACATGATACATATTATATAGTCATGTTTACTGGTTTACATGACCTATTTGGTATTTTTCTTAATACGGTTAACGGACGCATTTATACGTTATACTTATAGCGTGAATCATTTCGCGATAATTCAATGTAGTTTATTTTACCCTTCCATACTTCGAAAAACTTTATCCCAGTAAACGTTATTGTTCTCTTTCGGTTCGTCTGCAATGCTGCAATAGTCGTTTAGTTTTATTCTAATCATTTATAACACTTAACAATGTTACGATTTTTTTTCATTTATATCACGAATACATTTTTTTTGTTTAGGGTTTTAAAACTAATGTGAGGTTCAGACATGGAGGGTACCGGTACCCGGTGGCTGGTGACCCTGTGTTTGCTAACAGCAGGGCAATGCATTCCTTCCAGGGTTACGTCTCAATTAGAAACGGATTCCGAAGACTCCAGAAGAGTCCTTGGTTCAAGGTATGTCAAATTATTGTTTTCGACATCAAAATATATCCAGTTTTAAATGTGAACATGATTTTTTTTTGTTTGTATAGTGTAGTTACATCAGTATCTGTAATAATGGATCACGGAAACGGTACCAAAACGTATTTCGCTGACGGACAAAGTAAGAATGTGCACAAACCAACGGACACCATTATAGGCAGTCCCGGTAATTTACTGTCACCGGATCGTTATGAATTTTATACGTTTGACGAGACGGGAGATTTAGTAAAACGACTTATGACATTAGAGGAAATACACGGCTTAATTGCCGGAGCCGATCCAGAATCCGTGATGGCTGATTCATCTCCTACATATTATCACGATGCGTTGTCGAGTCATTCGTCTGAAGCACTTATGCACTTGCCAGCTTCAGATCTTGAATCACTAGATGAGCCAGCTGTTCACAAAGTACTGGAAAGTGTACAGAATGTACTAAAAAATGAAATGGCTGCCAACTCGGGCAAACCCATTCCATCTATACCCAGTACATCGTTGCATCGTCCGGATTCAGCGTCCGCGTGGTCAGCCTTATTTCCGGGACTAATAGAAACTCCGGATGACGTAGCCCATCTTTCAGGATACTTACTTCCGTCCAAAACGACCGAATCAATGGATCCACCGTTAACTAAGAAACCATCGGTACCCACAAAGATGCCTTTAACATCCATGCAACCACCGTTGACGACAGCTAAATTGCAATCGCCGTCTATAAATACACAATTGAGTACTACAACAGAAAAAGTGAGGTCAACGCCAAAGTACTCGACAACCAAACCGGAAACGACAACAACAACAACACCAACAACAATCCAAATGCAGACGACGACACTCAAACCATCAACGACGAAAAAACCATTTAAGCCGATACAGACATTTGAAAAGCAAAAGCCATCATTACAGAAACCGAGTTTAATCTTACATTCGACTGCTAAGCCACCGGTTATGGCGGACCGTTTTGATATCAATAAGGAAATGTCTGCTTCTATATCGGACATGTTATCACAAGTAACAGACAGTCAATCGTCAAATCACAAACCGTTACAGACAAATACTCTGGTAGAGAAAGACAACACGGCAGATTACGTACCAGAAGAAAGTTCACCGGAATTGAGTTACTACAGCCCAATGGCGATGTCGTTGAGTACCGTAGATGCAATGAAACCTGTTACAGAAGCGTTGACGATGGCCAAAAAACCAATGATTACGAACTCGTATAAATCTACTAGTACCGAAATACCGTTTTCGCAAAAGACAACTTCTTCAGTAACAACATCAAGATTCGGACCGACCAAATCGAATTCGACAAAACCACGGCCTCCCACGAGCGTAACCACCGCCTCGTATACGACAAAACCGTTATCACTCAATAAATATAACGGAACTGTTTCGACTACTAGAAATAACTATCAATACCCACCGAGCAACATGTCAACAAAGTATATGCAAAAAATCACACAAACCACTCAAGCGTACCCGAACAAATTAATCGATTCGTTCGTAAAAGTTGTCAACAAAACGGTAAATAATACCACTCTAAGTGTGAAAAAACCGACGGATACGTTTTGGAACACCACGGAAGAGATAAAGAATAAATTTGCTAATAAAGAGCCCAACAAGGGTTTTCCGACGAAAGTCAATTCTGTTCGGCCAAACGGCATCAACAGAACAAACGTTACTTTGTCGAATCGTATACAAGAATCGAAACCTACGGCTATCCCGAGTTTCGGATCCGGTTCTTCGACGACTACTGTTCGCAGCCACACGGATTCAGATAAATATGTATCTGTTAAAGTCGAAGAATGGCCGGCGTCGCAACATCCATTATTTTCCCCTACGACTATCCCGTACGTGCAGAGTACCGAAAAATCGTTCTTTTCCAGTAGCAACCAGCCGCCGAATCCCATCACCGATGCTAATGCTATCAGGGACCTAATATCATCTTTAATGGTCAAGTCCACCACAGCGTCCAGTGTGCCGACAAGTACCGGTTCTCCGACCACCGTTAGCGCCGTGCAGACGTTAACAGCCGCAGTTTCGACTACTTCACCGACGCCGATGAAAACAATCACCGGTATTCCAGCACCGATGATTTCGTCCACAACCGAAGTTCCTTTGACGTCAACGCTACCGCCTACGACCACATCTACCGCTACTCCTACGACTACTTCTACTACTCCTACTACTACTCCTACTACTACTACTACTACTACTACTACTACTACACCAGTACCGATAACGACATCGGAAACGACTGCAATTGCAGCGACAACAACGGCAGGGACGATAGCAGTGAAGACTGCGGTGGAAGTAGCGGAAGCAGCAGCAGCAACAACGGTGACTACTGAAGCGACGATGACACCGACAAGTACGTCGACGGCAAATGCGACGGAAGCTAGTGCGTTGGCCGAACAAACCTTAGACAGTACTACATCGACTCGACCAGCAGCAAGTACTTCAGCTGCTCAGACAGCGGCAAGTTTTACGGGTGCTCAGACATCGGAAAGCATTGCAGCTATTAAGATATCATCTAGTACAGAAGCTACTCAGGCACCGGACAGTACTACCACTGGTCAGACATCAGCTAGTAGTTATACAGCTGTTCAGACAGCAGCGAGTACTGCAGCTGCTCAGACAAGTACGACGAGTACTACGGTTGTCCAAACCACAGCGAGTTCTTCGGCTGCTCAAACAGCCGCTAGTTCGCCGATTAATATGACGACCGTTGCAAATTCGATAGTGGCGACTACGACAGACGCGAAAACGTCGGCCGCTGCAACTACCGTAACGTCTACTACCCCGGAATCGGAAACTCAGTACGTGCCGGTCACGCATTTTCTACCGGAGCTGCAGATGAAAGACCGACTGGAAACGGAGAGAAATAGCAGTGCACCGAGCGTGGATTCGATACTCAAAGACGGTATATCAGCGGTGGCCAATATGTTACAGAACACGCAGAAGCCGACCATAGTCAACACGCAGTACCAAGAGATCGACGATCGGCCGTACGAGAAGTTCACGTTGGCTGAGAGCAAGCAACCGTCCACGGAACAAGCCCGGAAACAAGCGACGGTCAAGTCGGATTTCGATGAGACGAGCACCCTGTCCGTCGAGAACGGGATAACGCAAGAGCTGTACGAATTCACCACGGAGCCAATGACGAAAGATCCGGTGACCGCGAACGACACGGAAGAGATTTCACGAACCTCGGGCCCGGGCTTGGAGATGCTGACCGTGTTCAATGTCAGCTCTGCGGACGGTCCTGCGCAAGCGGCGAAGCTGGCCGACCTGTCGGCGGAATCGCATACCTTTTTCGACGTGACCACGCCGTTCGAAAACGATCATAACGCCATCACCGCGAACCCGTCGGCCGTGACCGAACAGCCGACAGTCACAACGTTCAGCCCTTCGCCGGTGACGAGCGCGACGACGCTGAAGTCGATTACGACGACAACCACCACGATGACCACGACCACGATGACCACGATCACGAACGCTTCGACTGCCGACGTGCAAAACGTGACGACGACGACTGCCGATTACGGTACCAGCGACGCGAACTCGTCTCCGCCGTCGGCCGCGCCCGTCACGATGTCGTCCACCTTTGCACCGGCCGCGGCCGTCAAATCCCCCGGACCGTCGTCGAACGCATACAGGCCGCTGGCCAACACCGCGTCGCCGTCGACCGTCGAACTGCATCCCGCGCCCCACGAAAGCATGGGCTTGGAAGCCAGCGTCGCGTTCCTCGGCGACGACGTGCGCCGGTTCGCCGACCTGTGCAACGAGCTGTCGTTCAAGATGTGGACTGCTGTCACCGGTAAGGGCCAGATAGCCTCCCGTAGCCTGGTGTTGTCTCCGTTTGAGTTGACTGCCATGCTGGCCATGGTGTTCTTGGGCGCTCGCGGTTCCACTTCCGGCCAGATGAACGACGTCCTCCGGCTGGACGACATGGTCACGTTCAACCCTCATCAAGTGCTGAGGAACATCACGCATTCCATAACGAACGTTAACAATCCCGGAGTGGCCACCGCGTCTTTCGTTCGCGAGATATACAGCAACAAGGTAAAGAATATTATAAGATACGTTCATCATAACGTCGAGTACGATGGACGAGCCATATTCACAACAGAATATGGTTCATAAAGCAATCATCTTTAAAATACGTTTAAAAAAGAAGAAAAAGATCCCTTCGATTATTCTCCGTGATCGGCATAATTTTAACTTTTTGTGATTTTATAGGGAAACGGAAAAATCTTAGATTTTTATAAAGAACGGGTACAACAGTACTACGACGGACACGTAGAAGAAGTTGACTTCAATACCATCAGTGACGTGCTCAGGAGACGAACGAATTTGCTGGTCAAAAGACAGACTTTAGGTCGAGTAGTAGAATACCTTCGCGGTTCCGGTTTGAGTTTGACCCCACCGTTCGCCGCGTTCAGTGCCAACGTTTTCCAGGTAAACATCAAACGTTAAATTATTTTGCATATTACAGGCATGTACACAAACGTGTCGGTTTTTAGTCCGATGATAAACGATTTAAAAAATTAAAGTTTGCTAAAACGATTACTAAATCAGCTATTTGTAATAAAATTTTTCTATTCGATCGAGGTTAATTGCTTTGTTAGTTGATTTCCAAGTACTTAATTAATTTCAATGAATAAAAATAGATATTTTTGAACAAATCATTGTTTTCAATAGATCAATCGGGATCAGGTATAATGTTTGGATGCACTGTTCTTGGATTTCGAAATAAATTATTATTTCGATATTATTCGGTCGAAGAATGATTCTCGTTCACGGCTAAGTTAGTTATTTAGTTTATTTCTATTTCATAAAAGATTAAAAATAAAGGGGGAGCTTTTAATTTGAAACTTAACCGAATGTAGGCAAACTATTGATTTAAGGGTCGAACAAAAAATGAGCTGACGATTCGGACTCGAATGTGTACGCGCGACGCGTGAAACGATAATCACAACAAATAACGGCAAATACTAATGTTATGCGCGTGCCATTTCAGACGAGCTGCGAGAGCGCGTCGACGGAGGGACGGGACGGCGAGATGTACTTCGTTGTGCGACCGTCGACGAGACAGCGGCGCCTGGTGCCGGTGCCCGCGGCCGTGTGGCGCGGTGGCTTCCTGGCCGGCTACGAGCCGGGGCTGGACGCAACCGCGGTGTGCCTGAGCCCGGACTCGCCGGTGTCCACGATACTGGTGCTGCCGGGCCAACAGGGCCAGGTGGCACCGGGCGACGGGCTGGCGCGGCTGGAGCAGCGGCTGATCGAGACGTCGTACCGGCGGGGCGGGTGGTCGCGGATCCTGCGCAGCCTGTTGCCACGGCCCGGCCTCGAGCTGCAGGTGCCGCGGTTCTCGCACCGGTCCGTGCTGAACACGACCGCGGCGCTGCAGAAAATGGGCCTCAAGGACGTGTTCAGCGACCAAAAGGCCGATCTGCGTGGCGTCAACGGCCTGTACGACCTGTACCTGTCCGACATGCTGCAGGTGAACACGTTCAGCACGTGCGGCGAGGACGTGATCGGCGCGCGGCACCACGTGGAAACGTATCCCGCGTCGCCGCAGCGCATGGGACGCGTGGAGATGCTGGCCGAACGCCGCCGCCGCAAGCGCCTCGCCGACGACCTGCCGCTCCACAGCCCGTACTCGCACCTGCCGCTCAACCTGCGCCCCAGGCAGGCCAGGTTACCGGACGTGCCGCGGCTCCGGTTCGACAGGCCGTTCCTATACCTGGTCCGGCACAACCCCACCGGCATGATCGTCTACCTGGGCAGGTTCAACCCGCGATTGTTGCCGTGAACACATATCCCCGCGCTTTATCAAATCCAACACCGTTATTATCATCATCGCTATAATCATCATCATCTCCTTTCACCATCACCGCAATCATCGTCGTCGTCGCGTTTGCACAACAGCGGCTCTGCTCTCCGCCACGCAACATTTCCAATATTTAAAACTAATCTCATCGAAACCCATTGATCAATACCGTGTTGGAAGGGTAGGGGGAAAAAACGAGAACTTGTACACCGTCGTGAAGCTTTTACGCGGACGTTGTTCAAACAACCCGATCTGACCACAAACCAACGATAACCGTTCCGGTGCGCGTTGAGCGTTCCACTACAATCGTTGCAAAAAAACAATAATAATAATAAGTAACGAAAAAAAAAAAATGTTCGCATTTCTGTATTGCGATTAATGCACTACGCCGCGTTTTCAATATTTCAACAGTGTTGTGCTTGGCATTAGGTTATAAAACGGTCGATTTCACTGACATTTAACAATAAAAGTATTTAAAAATAATCCACCGATATTTTTCAAATAGTTTTGTGATCTTGGTCAAATCGACATCCTAAAAATATATATTATATTTAATTGAACTAGGTATTGCAATCGTTGTAAATCATATTTATTTATTTTTTTATGCGTAATATCATTATTTATCTGCGAAATATTATTATTACTTATTAATATTATACACTATAGTTATGTCATTTTGTATACTAATGATTACACTAAACATAATGTGCTACTGTACAGCAGTTACATGCTTTGTGATATATTTCGGCAACACACCTACAATGAGAATGTAATGCTTAACGATATTTTATATTATTTTTTATTTATATATATATATATATATATATATATACGTATAAATAAGATTGTTCCTAGTTTTTTTTTTTTAAGGAATCATGTCGAAGCAGTTTTTTTTTTTTTGACAATCATTTATGTAGTAAAATAATTCTATTCAAATGGTTTGAATAAAAAAAAAAATACATGTTATTGCATGGTTACAATTATATTTATAAGTACGAATGTTTTCCATCAGAAGAGAAAATATACAAATAACATTCTGTACATTTTGATTATAAATTTATATGTAATTACATTAAGTTAATTTACGGTCGTATTTATTTTTTACTTAAGTCGAAATTATAGTATTATTTACTACATATTATTATAATAAAGAATACATTGCATTTTATACACAGTTTTTATTGATAAAAAAAATCACGTGTTCGCTACAAAATATATTTCAAGAATATTTATCTTCAACGTAAGTTGATAAACATTGTTATCGATAAGAACATGTATCAGCTACGAGTTTACAATGAATGCATGTAAACTCATTGATTTGAAAGTCGGTTCATTTAATAGCAGGTATCCCTCGTTATGAATACATAATCATGTATCAAGCTATTGATAGACGAAAGTAGCGTTAAAAGTGTGTGTGTGTGTGTGTGTGTGTGTGTGTGTTTTTTTTATCGGAAACGTAAATAAGTTTCATTAAATATGTTATTAAAAAAATCTGTGATAAAAAGTACCACGAGTGTACCTATCCTACCTTGAATAGGTGAGATAACGATGTTTACTATACACCGAACACGTTACTGAAATAGTAAATGTTTGTGAGACAACCGTAAAATATTTTTTATACGTTCAAAGTTCAAACTACAACAATAATAATTAGACGAATACTAAAAATAAATTAATCATCTATAATGAGTTTATCGTATAAGGAAAAACTGAATTTTGTAAAATCCTGTCTATTATTAGAAGAGCATTGTTTTTTTGTTTAACAGTTGACGTCATTATGAATAGTAAAAGTTCGTTTGATGCAATCGACATGTTGCCCGTGAATACTAAGCCAATTAAAAGTAAAGGAAGACCTTAATATTATGGTTAACTGTATTGAAATTGTAAAAACGTTTTGAATATTACTTACATTTTAACACGAATGTTTTAAATTGATACATTAAAATGATTATTAATAAGCGTCAGGAACTAATGATTGTAATCAGTGGTCGGAAGTAACGCGCTAATTTCAGCGTCTCTTTAATATAAATATCTTAATTTGTATAGTGATTAATGCAATGCTACTGTAGTTAACTACTCGAAAATAATAGTATCTCAAATACTTTGTGCTTTCAAATTCTAATTTTCAACATTATTTAAAATCATGTTCAAGAGTGCACAACTATTTCCTACAGATTTTCAGTTTGATAGTTTTTTGTTTTAATGAGAATACATAATTTAGTTTAGGGTGTTTAGTGCTGTTCTACGTTTATCGAATAAATAATAATGAAAAAAAAACCAAAAATATTATATTAAATATTTGTTACAAGTGTACACTATAAAAAGTAATCAAAGTTAAAAAAATAAATGTAACTACAAAATAGCGTCCGACATTTTAAAAATATTGTTCGAAATAGCTTAGCGTTAATACACTACAAAAAACATTTGAATTTGTTTCTATTAAAGATTGTGGTACAAATAATTAATTTTGAGCAAAATGAAATTTCTATAGATTCCCTTGAAACTCAAGTTCAGGTTGTGAATAATAATTTATATTTTCACAAATCATTTTGAATAAAGGGAAAAGATAATTTAAATGTCCATCGTAAATAGTTGGCTGTAAGTTCTAACTAATGTAATATTTATATTAAATATGTATAATATAATAAAATTGATACACATTTAAGTATTGACATTTGAACAATATTTAAACATATATTATTTTTAAAAATGGTAGATAAAAATTTAGAAAATTATGATGAGTGTGTGGAATTTGCAAAAAAAAATATTTTTAGTATAAAACTTTTATTATTAAACGTATACAAGTAATGCTATATTCTTCTTCAATTTTTACAAGAGAATATAACTTAATGTGTTAAATTTTAATTCATGTTAATATATGAGTTGTGTAAACAGAGTGATTGTAAACGGCCTGACTTAGACATTTTAAGGTCCTAAAATTACCTTACCTTTTTACAAAATAAAAAATGTGATATTTTAAAAATTATTACTTTATATTTATTTTTTTTTTAAATATTATATTTTGCTTATATTTATAATTTATAAGATAAAAGTTGTAATTTAATAATGAAAAAAAAAATGGTTCATAAATATTCCTGTCTAATAGTAAATAATATGACCCTGTATGTAAAATATACAACATATACGAGTATTTGAGAGTTTCATAATATGAAATTGTAAAAATTATCGTTTATAAAATAATTTTTTTTATATTTTTGACATATCATAAACAATGTTTTATAATAAAATATGATTAAAGTCGTACAAATACTTTACAAATACTATTTTAAAATAATCAATGTTTGTACCTACTGATCGAAAGCGATTGGGCAAGTGTGTTAGCTAGACAAAGACTAAACAGTGAACATAATAATATATATCTGTATATACATGTACAATATATGACATCCAAGTAGCAAAATAATTGTGTTATTGATTCAAAGTTCATGAAAACCAACACTACCACTTTAATATTGTACTATATGATGAGGTATTTATGTAATTTTAATCGGTGTGTACGTGTAAAATAATATGTAGGAGAACGATACTTACAAACTTCGAGAGAGATCTAATATTATAAGTGGAATCCGAAAACTTTTTTTACTTTTACTAAAATTACATTTTATTTTTTTCATCATTTTTTTTTTTTTGCACATTTAACGATTAAATTTGATAGAATTCAAAAATATATTTTTACATATAAAAAAAATTGGAAACACAAAGTAAGATAGTGAAAAAAACATCAAGATTCTTATGCCACTTAATAATGGTGCATGGAGCAGAATGATTGGCTGCTGACTGAATGAGCGAGGGAGGGGATGACGTTTATTTATGTCGATGTAAATGTGTGTTCGTGAAGAATTATCTGAAGAAATGAAAATCTGCATTGGATAAATGTATAAAAAGTAATTTTAAGTGAAGCTCCAATCGCAGAGAAGGCGAAAAAAAATTAATTTATGCTATGTACATATTACAGCGAAGAAAATGAGAAAATGTTAATAATTATATCAAATATGAACGTGGAGAGAAGAAGAATAAATGAGGTAAGACGGAAAAAGATATGATCCATCTGTAGGCGTTGTGTCAGTGCAAAACACGATGAAAAATTGTGAATGGTAAAAGTTTAAAACGAGAGTGGTGAAATGGCGAAGAAAAAGAACAAAATTATATTTAATGTACAATATCATTTGAAAATTAATCCGCAACATATTACTACCTCTACGTTAAAGGGAATTCGAGTGAAGCTATTTTCATGAAATAAACACCTTATTATCATACTGCGAAAAATTAATAAATCAAACCGTATAATATGTGTTGTGCATTGTGTTCAGATTTAACAGTATCACAAAACATTTTTGTGGTTACGATTGGCTGCACTTGTGATACAAACATACATAACTTACATACGTACAACGGACGTACATTGCTTGAGTTTAAATTAAAATCAAAATGTTTTTAATAATGAATCAAAATGAAAGTACTTTGAGGAAACATCTCTTTTAGTATCCTCTGCGACGGTAACGAAAATCTAATTAAACTGTAAACAAATCGATGAAGAATAAATTGATAATCTAAGATTTTGCGTTTGAATTGAAGAAAAAAAATTCTATAAACTTATTAAAAATGTCCAATTTTTTACAGTTTATCGATATTCATATGTGATCGAATATTATTATAATTAATACTTAAACATTTTTACTCGTGTATGAAATAAAGAAGCTTAACTCTGGAAATATTGAAAAATTATCAATACGCTGTTTAAAATAAACCTTCAAAAACCAACTATATGGGTGTAAATCAAAATGTATAGTTATATTACTAGCGAGATACCGATTTAATGAATTAACATTTCGATAGGTTTTTTAAAAATTGAGATTTGAGTGCGAAAAAACATTTTATGTGTATAGAATAGTCGAGAAATGAAATTTGCTCAGAATCAGGTTTATATGAATAAAAGTTTATAATTTGTAAATAATTCATAAGCTATAGTAAAAAACCAAATAATCTCGAGAAATCCACCTTATTTAATTCATGGGCCACTCCTATATTTTTTCTTGCAGTATCTCTAATATTGTTGTAATTGCATTATTATTTCTTATTATTTGATATAAAGATAGTAGAAGTAAAATTTATAGTTAAAATAATAATAATGACAAAATAAATTGATAATAAATAAATACAATTATTGTTAGTGGTGAAAATTGGAAAACCGGTAACAGTACTATTTTGTTCTAAAACCACTAGTCGGTTTAGTTCTACTTCTAACTTTATGTTAGGGCCATGTGGTTGAATGATTGTGCTTCACCGCAATCGCATACATTTCAAATTTTGTATGTAATCGTATTAAGCTGAGCTATAGCAAAGACCAATTAGGCGTATCGTGCAAAAAGTAAAATATAATCGAATACTACGACACGTGTTCACCTCTAACGTGTGGAGCTGGCCTATCAAATATAAATCCACGCGCGTTGAAACAAGCGGTTTAACAGCAGCGGAACGCGATCTATCTGCCGTTCGCCGTCGAGGAAAACCTCTCTCTCACCTCCACGATGCGGCAGAAACAAATCATTCGATCGGTAAAACAATATTACCAGTGGCGCCAAACACGTACGTGAAGTTGACCCCCCCCCCCCATTTTGATTTTGATTTTCTGACTTTCCGGGGATTTACAAATTCCAAAATTGCATTTACAATTATTTACAATTAATTTACAATTATTCGGAATTAGTTTGAAACCGATAGGACAAAGTAGGGGGGCTGCGTGAAGTTGGCCCCCCCCATTTTGATTTTGATTTTGTGACTTTCTTGGAGATTTACAAATTCCAGAATTGCATTTACAATTATTTACAATTAATTTACAATTATTTGGAATTAGTTTGAAACCAAACGTGGACAAAGTGGAGGGGCCAACTTCACGTACGTGCGCCAAACCACTACTTATTGGGTTGCTCAAACACAAGTTTTTGCCACCCACCCACTGCTATCTAGACATCCTCATAAATATTATTTCCGCTGATCTAGGAAAAATGGACGTAGCCGTTTGGACGTGGCCGTTTGAACGTGGTAACAAATGGATGTTAAAAATAAATATATATATAAATCAGTAAATAAAATAAATTAGTTATTTAAATTTATTATAATATGTAAATTTTATTGTCAAAAAAATTCATTAAAAAAAATTTCACCATCACGATTTGAATAAATTAATGACATCTTACATGTACACTTGAATACAATTTGTACACGACTAACACGGTTATAGATGTGTATTGTCGTGTTTCGATAAAGTGTGATAATTATTACAATTTGTAAAAACCAATAAGTCATATATATTAATATAAAAGGTACCTATTGCCAAAACGATAAAATTCGATAAGGTTTGATATTATGATACAATACCATTAGTTATATTATGAACATAAAATATTATTGGTTTTATAACTTATAAATATACATATATTTTTTTTTTTTTTTTTGACGTCTATTTGTCGCCACGTTCAAACGGCCACGTCCAAACGGCCGTTTGTCCCTATTCGTATTTCCGCTTATGTCCAAGGTCAATATCGTGTTCGTATTAAGCAGGCGGCTACTAGGCAAGTGTATGTGTTACGGGTAATGTGAACATTTGACTAAATTAATCGTCCGCGGGAATAAATCACCTATGTGAAAAATTACCAAATTGAGGTTTTGGTATCATTAAATTCAGAAAAAAAATTATCTTCAACAGAATTGAACTCCTATGTATTATCTTTCTTCCGTGTTTAATGAAATATAAATTAAACAATCTCCCTTGTGTAGGGCTGATCTACTTATGCGTATGACGATTTAGAAAAATTTCTAAATACCACCTCTATGTGAATAAAATTATGATTGGCATGCACGTTGGAGGTGTTGTCGTTTGTGTATAGGTTAGTGTCGTGTTAGGGTGGATAGATAAAAACAAACTGTTTTGTCTTTACTGAAAAGTAACGTTTTTGCACGTGCGAGATTTATTCCCGCGGACGACATTAAATGCTGTATTATCTGGCTAATGTCCGGGCTTCATCCAAGTCTTAACGTTGCCCGTTAGACTGAGCGCCGGTGTTTCGAAATCATATAGACCCGATGGCCGCCCCTCGATTTCGCACGTACCAGCCGAGCACGTATTCGGCGCCGCTGAAAACAATCTCGCCAGTGGCGGATCCGGGGAGGTTTCCTAGATCAGGAAAAACACCGTATCCGCCACTGAATCTCGCCTCGAGTGTGCAAACGACGGCGCACGTGAAGAAAACGATATTTGGCGCCAACGTTTCAGACCGAGAAACCGTAAGTCAGTGCGTTGCGCGCGTAACGGTCGTCACGCGTCGTCCGACGGGAACGGGACGCCGACGGTGCTACGCCGTTGTAAATATTGTTGTGATTAGACGGAACGCGGGCTCCGCGTGCTCGCGCTGCTGACGTGCTCCGCGCCACGTGATGATAACGGTGCCGCGCGCACGGCACGTCCGCAGCACACGCGCGCGTTACGCGGTGCCGCCGCCGCGTGCGCACGTTACAGTCTCGCGGACCGCGTGCCGTCCGCCACCGAGTCAGAAGTCCCGGAGCGACCGTCCAGCGCAGACATGAGACCCGCGGCCAGCCGAACCGAACCCAACTCGACCGCCGAACCTAACCGCTTCGCCATCGACCGGTTGCAGCTGCTGGAGTACGAGTACCGCACCGCCCTGAGCGACCTCGAAAAAGTGCGTATACGAATCACCTGGTGAACGGGGGCGGCCCCTGCGGGGGATGACTACACGCGCTGCCGCCGGAACTCTTTTCGCCCAAAATTGACCTTCCTCTTTTTGCCCACGTCCTCTTTTCGACCAAAAATGAAAAAACAATTTCCTCTTCTCGCCCAAAAATAATTGTACTCTTTTCGCCCATGGTTTCACGTTTTACATTTTGGAAACCACTTTCTCAAAATTAATAATTTTTAAAAAATCATATTTGATGTTCGATAAAACCACGTTTTTGATTGTTATTAATATAGTCAGTCGAGAAAAGTGTACAAAGGTGCCGACTCTTCTATCGAAATATATAGTTCAAAACACTTTAATAAACGTTATAATGACTTAAAAGTCATAATTAATATGAATATTTGTATTATTTTACAACAACAAAACAAACTATATATTTAAGTAGTAACATGATCAAATTACTTATTAGTACTTACTATTACATCGATAACACTATTTTAAATGCTTATTTTTAACACTTATTAAATTATTATTAATAATTATATATTTTTCTATTTTTTTATTTGATTATTATATGATTTTTTTAAAAATTATTAATTTTGAGACAGTGGTTTCCAAAATGTAAAGCGTGAAACCATGGGCGAAAGGAGTACAATTATTTTTGGTCGAAAAGAGGACGTGGGCAAAAAGAGGAAGGTCATTTTTGGGCGAAAGGAGTACCCCCCCCCCCCCCCCCTTCCGTCACGTCGTTTACGACACTTGGCTGCGTGAGTGGACGGCGGTCGGAGGTAGGGGGTGAATACGACGATCATCCCTGCGGTCGCGCGAATCCCGGTCGTCCGTGTTTTTACGAGCACCGAAAACGCGATCCGTTCGATTCAGAACATCCGATCCGTTGCGCGCGTCAATAAAACGATCGTTTTGCAGAACGAGATCGTCGCGACAAGTCTTACAGTATAAAATCGTAGAATTCTTCGCGTGTTGTAAACAGCGGGTACTCACCGTCAGATCTCAACTATACGCTCGCACGTGTCTACAATTGTCGATGTATGATACGTCTTTTTGTTTGTGATTTTCGTGTTAACGGTACACAACATCTCGGAAATGCGGGCTCGAAGGTGCCCCTAGGGCGGTCCATCACTTGGAACCGCCTTTGGATCGATAACTTTTAGCGCATTACAACGCGAAATGTGAATTGGTTGTAAAAAACTCTTTTTGTCGGCCAACCGTCAGCTATCATACTGTCGACTGCTCGACGAGATGCGTATTCGTTTTTTTTCTTCAGATTTCCAACTCATTGTAAATGTGAGCGAAATTACCGAACAGTCGATAAACTTCACGGAGACATGTTGAAATGGACTTTTTCGAAGTTCTTTGAGAGGTAGTAGGTCCCACTGCGTCCTTTCTCGTTTTGAGCTCTGGATGAACGCTATCGTGATCACTATCGCGTAGTCACGTGATATTATTATTAATGTTATTGCGTTGTATCGCGTGGTTTTAGTACAGCATTGTACGATCGTGACAACAAAAAAATTTTATACCTAACAATTATAATAATAATGTTCACCGCATTTGCATGATGATTTTTGTTTTTATATCGTATTTTAATATCATGTGAATGCATTGATGTTGTGTTCGCGACGATAACGATAATTATGTAGGTGTGCAAAAGTTTTCAAAAAGATAGTACGGTTTGAAATCGTTAATTCGTGAAGTTGGAAATAACAATATTTTATTAATTCTAGTTTTTTTTTTTTCTCGTACTATGTATAAATGTGGGTAACGATTTCGATATTTTGTTTTCGTAACAATGCAGTACATTGACGTGTCATTCGATCAAAACAGTCGGTTCAACGATAACCATAATAGTTTCAATAGCATGGTTCATACGTAGATCAATAACATACAGAAAAAATGAGTTGTGTTTATGATACACAATTATCAGTCGAAAATAATCATGCTTGATCTTATATGAAAAAAATCCAACCAAATTATACGGTTTGAACGATTCTTTGAAAGAATAGCGTGGTGAAGTGTTTTTTAATACATCCAGGCGTCGTGATTGAAATTCAGTACATTTATATAAGTACTGAAACATTTGGTGAGAATAAATGGTTTTAAAATTGAATTGAAATATTATTATTATATCCTTAAAATCCTAAAATATACATTTATAAAACCAAAAGCATAAATTATGAAACCTTGAAACATTTCCCTGAGATGAAGGGAAGTTTTCTTTATGAATGAAGTGGATACTTAAATGTACGTTTTGTATAATTATTCGTAAATGCTCACCACACTTTGTAATTTTTAAGTAATTAACCATCAGTATTATACTTTAGTATTGACTATTGATTCGTTTAACACGTTAGAGAAAAAAATATTAAGCTAGTTTAGTATTAGTAAGATAAAAAGCTAGTAGTTACTCGGTAAATACAAAACATCAATTTTTAAATGAAATATAATGTACACAATACGAGTACATCGATGAATAATTTATTACTTAAAATGATTTATAGTTCAGATAACTGTATGTTAAATTTTGATTGATATTATAAATGTGTTATAGAATAATCGAATATGGTAAGATACATATACATTTAATTTATTTAAAAATTTAGTTATTTTATTTTTTATATTATTTTCTGATGTATAATTGATTTTTTACATTTATTTAATTAACTTATTTTTGTACAGATTTACTTTAAATTTATATTAATAGACGTCAGTGTACAAATTTTAACTCAAAATAGCCGATGAGTTTTGATTTAAATGTCAGAAAATTATTATGTGAAATCATATTATTTAAATTAAAACATTGTTTTATAAGGTTATGGAAAATAACAATAATAATAAATAAAAAAGTATTCGTACCATTTATTCAATAAATAGTATTTTATCATACTGCACTGCAGTTAATGCACATAATTATTTATTTTAAGTTCAAATCAATAAAAATATAATTTACAAATATTTGAATAATGTAGTTCCATATATTCTTAGTTTACCAATGATTTATTATACAATGATGCCAATATATTTTTATTATACAATAATCTATTAGTAATTTTTATTATAAATTTAGTATTTTTCTGAACTCATTGATCGTTCAATATATTATATTTTTTATCCACTTTGAATAATTAGATAATAACTAGATATCAATTCTTCTTATAAAACAAATCATTTAAACGGTAAGCAAACCACCTTCCTGTGCTGACACTTTTTTAAACATTTATTTTTATAACATTTTTAAAAACTTATATAAATTTCGGTCTAATAGTCGAACTTATTCAAATTTTAACTTTTCAATTACCAAATACAAGACACTCAACTTGACAAATACATTGATCATCAATTAATTTGTAAAAGAAAATGTTTCATATTTAAAGTATTTTGAGTTCAAATTATTTTTTGTTCGATTAACCAGAATCATGAAAATGTTTTTATTTTTTTTTTTTTATTGACTCAATTACCAAAATATATTTTGTATACTATTGCCTTAAAAATATTGAATAACTGTGTAAGCTTTGATTATAATAATAAAAATGTAATAATATATTTAAAAAACTATGATTAAGAAAATGATTTTAGTGTCATGTTTTCTAATATGACTATTATAATGACTGCTACAAAATTGAATAATATGATTGTAATAATAGATTTTATGCGCAAGAACCCAGCAATATTTTTTACAAGCATTTAATATTTGAAATTAACTGTTAAAGCCAATGACTGTTGGCAATTGTAATATGAACGAATAACGAACAATTGGCATAGATAAAAATGTCTATAGTCTTACCAAAAAAAAATATACATATGAATCGTATATTTTTATTTAACTCACATATTGTTTTTTTTTTCACATCGTATTGATTTTCATTTACTGCCAATACTGACGTATTGACTCCCGTTTTGATTGCCAAGTTCGAGCTATTGCTATTTAGGCACCTTTGGCAAGCTTTTATCATAATCCACCTCAGCCTAAATATTACCTAAATAAAAACAATACTATCATTGTAATAGATTTATGGTTCTGTAATTTTTATCGTTATTAATTGTATTATTTAAACAAACATCATGTGCGAATATAAAAATTTATTTCAGAATGTAATCATGAATAAAATGACATAAATATTATTTAAAATTATAATTTACCAACAAAATTAATTACTCTGTCCTAAGACTAATTATAAATTATTCCGATATATACGGGACATTGATAGGAATAAAAACAATTGTTTATGTGATACATAAATATTATACATTACGATGCATGTGGTATAAACAAAGTTACAATAGTGTTTTGTTAATACCAATTGAACTTTAGCCGTATCTGTTATCAGTAAATATAAAACAATAAAATTATTACTATCAACATAATATACTTTTGATTTGGTTCAAATTGAATACACTAAACCATTTTAGAAAGTAACAGGAAACTATTTTTGTGGCAGTGGTTGACCTGTATTTCTCGGGGACAATATTTTGCTGAAAAATTACAAAAAATATAATAATCACATTTTTTATCACTCTTATATTATAAACTATCATAATACGATGGATTACGAACATACGAGTGTGTAGCTCTCGTGCGTTAAATGACTTTACGTAATAGAGTAATAACTAATGAACAATTAGTATCGTGGTATTTCCCACTAATCGATAATATGCATTAAATTTAAATTTAAATAATGCAACAATATGAATATTAAATAATTCCCATTAGAAAAAACCATCGTTAATATATACGAGCACAATATATATATATATATATGTGTGTGTGTGTATGTATTATTATTATGTTGATTTTATAAATATTTAATACACGAGGATTTTTTATGATGAAGTATCAAAATGTGATATATACTTTGGTAGAAATGAATTCTTCAAAAAAAATATTTTATTATAATTCATTTTTGTTTGTAGGAACAAATATCATTCAATGTTCTCTCTGACGTTTGTCTACCAGTATCATTGCTGCTTCTTATTGTAATATGGGGTTACCAGTTAAATGCCATGACCGTAGATCCCGATAGCGGAGAAGATCATACAATGTTGCTTTTCTATGGCATCGGGCTCATCGTGATCTCAGGTTCGGCGTGCGTTTATATTGCCATACGGATGTCGGTCATGAAACCAGAAAAGATAAACACTTTTTTCCCAGGAGAGGTAAATCATTGCTAACAAAAAACATAGTTAAAACGATCCATATTGCGTTTTTAAAAACTCGACATTTAGTAAATCGAAAAAAACAAACCAACAATTTGAAAAAAATAAACTGTACAAACATATAAAAGATCTAAAAAAAAAACACATAAAATGAAAATGAAAAACGTGCAAAACGTTGTTAGCTAGGAGTTAGCATGAGCATATCATTAACTAGGAGTTGGAATCAACGAAAATATGAACATTTTATTTAAACAAAAAAATATTAAAATATATCAACTGTATAATTAAACACTTCTGTCGATTTAGGCTTCAATGAATATAGAAGATTCAAATTTTCAACTATATTAATTTTTCTTTCAAACAACCTGTAGAGGAATTTAAAATTAAAATAGTAAATCAAATCATAAAGCCTAATTGAATTATGACAGATTTCTATAAACGGTAACTATCTGATTACCAAAGTAAAAAATAAATAGATTTTGTTTTAAAAACCGAATACTAGTTTCAACAACTCTCTCAAAATAAATAAATTTTTAATTTATTCCTAATACTCATTCTTATTAAATGTATAAGCTAGTTGGCAAACATTACTAAATTTGATAACTAATAATCATTATGTACAGATTTCAAAATGTTTTAGGCAAAATATAATTTTACATTTCTGACATTACATATATTATTATAAAACAAAATATTAATATCATTTATCTATTTTTACTCAACTTACAACTTCGGAAAACTTTAATTTTCAGATAAAACCTTTACATACAGAACAAAAACGATCTCAGAAGTTTTATTACCAGACTATACCCGAAATACACAGAGTTGGTAAAAAATCTACTGATATATTTATTGTATAAATTTGTTTAGAATACCTGAATGAGTTCTTGCTTAGCTATTAATTACTTTATGTTAATTTTAAAGCATTACCACCATACATTAATTATTTAAACTTAAAAAAGGCAGTTCGCCTGTTATTACTGAATTTTATACATTTATTTTAAAACATAGCCTAAGGATGTATAGAAATTATTTATCTCGAAAGTTCGTAGTACTTGTAAACTTATCAGTATTAATGCTGAACCTATTATGTAACTTTCAATTATTTAATTTTCATACGTATAAGTTTAACTGTAAGGTTTTATTTTTTGTAAATACAACAACATATTTGAAGAAGAAAAAAGAACAACAGTTGATTTATGTAAATTAATTATACCTAATAATTATTAAGTCATAGCTAGTTGAACGATGAAAGTCTAAACGGCGCGCCGCGGCGGCTTGTATAGGCAATTATAATGCATTCTTGAATAGGAGCTCAAGTCGGTAGTACACTCGACGTACGCGCGGCGCATGAAACGTCCGCGTTCTCCGTTGCATCATTAGTTCATTGAATTTCGTCGTGTGTTTTTTACACTTCAGTACGCGTTGCACTCGTTTGGTCGCGAAAACGCAATCATGGCAAACAAACCCCCCATTTACCCGGAACCCTTACCGACCTTATCGTTCCGATTATGCACACCATCAAGCACATGAATCGCATTGACCTTCAACAATTTTCGTTTATTTCACAACAGTCGCGAAAATCACTAGCGTACACAGAGGGTAGGCCTGTTTGGCCTGGGCCTACCCTGTTTTCAGATGGTTGTTATTTTTTTTTTATACATCATTATCTTTGACTTCTTAATATCTTTAAATATTATTGACAAGTCAAACAGAAGGAATTGTGTTGTATTTTATGATATTTTTTTCTAATTAAATTTAAAAATGTTATGAAAAGTTTTCGAAAAACAAGTAAACAGTGTGTACCTACATATATAAATTAAAATAATTTTAACTGGGCCTGTCCTACATTTTGATCCTGGGCACGCCTCTGACGAAAATTTTTTTCTGCATCTTAGAATTTTATAGAAAAAAAAGAAATAGGAAAATAGAAATAATCTATACAATTTGCGGTTTTTTGAATTTTACCTTTCTATAAGCATATGCTAACTGTATGTTTTTTAATTTTATCCTGAAATGTTATTAGGGTTATTATAAACAACTGTTTCGATCGCATATTTTAAAAACAAAATTTGCCAAATTTACTTAATACAAAATATTATTTAAAATGAAATTATAATTTGTTAAAATTAAAAACATTGATTTACTTATTTCAAAAAAATATAATTAGAGTTACGAAAAATGTTTTTTTTAATTAAAAACTGAGTGTCCTACTTTTTGTATGATTGATTACTGTTAAATATAATGACTAATCATTAAGAATATTTATTAATTACCACAGCATACAAGTTTAACAAAATACTTCAAATCAAAAATGTAACATTATTAAATATCTAATTAAAACTAATTATAGCACGAGACATTATGTTGATCAATACGGTTTCAATAAGTGTTAATTATGGAATTAATTTTTTAAAAATTATACTTTAATGTAGTTATGTGGAACAATTTTTTTTATCGAAACATGCGTACGGTCAATACAATATAATTTTAGTTATCAAAGTAATATGATAAAAATATTCTCGGCAGTGGTTTTGTTCATGTCTGCGTTGTTACTGTCGAACAATTATTATTGAATTATACAACGGAATGAATTTCTTCTACCTAGGTATATGTAGCGAATAAAAATGAAACGTAAACCATCGTTGAAACACAAAACCTATGTCTGAAGCGTTGACGTTTCGGTGTTTAACAATATTCTTGGTCCGGAAAATAAAACTATAATGTTCATGTTTAAAGTTAGTAATACGAATCCGTGTTTAACATCGTTAAATTTTCAACAAGTCGAATACTATAAATAATATTGGCTTTATTATAAGTCCATGTTGAAAACATGTGCAGTGCGTGATTCCAAAGCACAATTGTTTTTCAAATACACGACTAGACAGTTAGATGGTCCTGGTAAAGGTGAACGAATGATAAACGACCAACTCGGAAACCACGCGGCCAACAAAAACGGACGACCGATCCGTATGGTACATCGGAAAGGGTTTTCGAACACGAACGGTCTGAACACCTGATGACCGTTCCTTTTTACGGACGAATAACGGAACTCAGTTGATCTGTCCGCGAAGCCGGAAATTGTATTCGTTAGTTTTGTTTTTACAACACACGAACGCGCGACCAGACGATTCATTGTCGACCAGAAACGTCCGAGCACCGCGCAGAGTTATGCCCCGCGGGGTTTTCACTCGACGAGTCGGACACGATGCGCTGTGGTGCGGATGGGGCGAAATGTCTGGAATCGACGGACATTTCATCGACACTTGCATAATACAACGACCGTTTTCGTGCCTAACGTCCGGAGTTCAGCAGTACGTTTGCTTTACGAACGTTCACTGATATAATGTACCTGTGTTGCGATTACGATCGCGCCGTATACGCTCGCACGGCTCGGCGGAATGGACGTCCGCGTGTCGAGCGTACCGAAACGAAAATCGATCGGCCAACGGCGAACGCGTCACGGCCGGCAGCCGGCAGTCTGACTGGCACCGTCGTCGCGGACGAACCGTTTACTACCGTTCACGCGCAACCGTTATCCGTTCCTGTTCCGCACTCCTGTCGGTAAGCATACTTTTCTCGTACAACGCTTACCGTTCGTCGCTCGTGACGAGGATCACCGTTGGCTGGTTGAACACGGCGGGCCGTGCACTGCTGCGAGATCACTACGTGGACGACATGGTTAGCCGATCGGAACGGTTTGAAATCTGCACTTTCAATCCGAACGGTTATAACGTTGCGCAGGGCCAGATTTAGGGGGGTATGGGTAGAGGGCCCGGGCTCCGGTACTCCCGTTGAATGTGGTTTTCTTGTATCCAAGCATAAAACACAATAAAACGTTTGCAAAATAGATTTCAACCACAACTCGAATAAAAATGTTCAACCGTTGAAACTGAATATTCAATAACTATCAATATATTTATATATTATAATTTTATAATATGAATTTAAACGAGTCTTACTACCTTTATTGTTTCATCCCAACAAATCGTTGTTTTCTCATAACCGAAATTCTGAATATTTGGAATTTTGATTATTAGATATGTGTAATCGAAAAAAAAAATCTACCCTTAAGAATGGGCCCAGGGCACGCGGGTCCGGAATGATGGTTTTTGCTGGGCGTTGTTCCGCCGGAAAATCGATGTTCGAAAAACGTGCCGAAAACAGCAGTGCGACAGCTATTATTTACGTTCACAACGATCGACTTGCACGCGCGGAAAATGAAATTAACGCACGTTTCCATTACTGTTAACGGCCTTGGACGCGGACCACTCGGTCGCGTGTAAAAATCCGACGCGTCACATTCCGTACACTCGAAAAAGCGAAAACACCATCCAGTCACGGGACGTCGGTCGTCGTAAACGTTTTAACGAGCAGAGATTTTATGGGTTGTTTTAATTATTTTTTCCCGACAAATTGTGTAAATTATTTACCGCGCTGCGCGTGCTGGATCCATTAACAATCGTCCGCCGGAAAAATCATCGTTTTTCACAAAAACATGTTACCGTTTCAAACGATCCGAATTTTCAACAGACGTTCGTCGTCTTCGACCGCGATCGATTGCACTTGTTTGAAACCCCGTTCTTTAAATCCACACGCGGTATTGTTTGAAATCCATGCGAACGGATTCCGGAAACATTTGTACATTTTTATCGGAAACATATGTTTTTCAGTTCTGGACGTATCCTATACGTTACGTATTTGCACGTAAATATAATTTAGAACGGGTTAGCTACTATTGGTTAACGTTTAGCCTGTACAAGTTGTGGTTAGATGTATAGGTTTTGGTGAATTTATACTTCTTATCTAATTGCTTACATGTAATTGTACATGTAATTACTTATCTCGTTTCTAATACAATGATATTCAGGTAAAGTTGTTTTTGAGTCTTCTAAAACTCAAATTTATGAAACTGTCACTTATGATTGTTGAATATGAATTTTTATACTCCAAAAGATAAAGATATATAACTATCATAATAGTTAAAATGAAAGTATGTTCATGTTATATGCCATTAAAAGTTAAAAACTATAAACGAATTTTACGAATATTCTAATATAATATTCATGCACGATGGTATTATTTCAAAACAAGAATATAATCTTCCCTGTGTGTATGGAAATACTTCATATTGCAATTTTGCTTATTCTACTTATTACTTATAAACGATTGTAATCGATTGATCTGTATAGTATTTGAAATTATATTATCGGATTGTTCAACATAGGAATGCGGTAGATATTTTATTTCAAACGTCTGAAAATCCTTTCCAAACAATATCTTTGTTTAAAATTTATATCTTAACTTTAGATCATTCGTATAGAATTTCAACTTTCCTCGCATATTGGAATATTAATTATTTTCGTTGCGTTACAATAAAGTAGGTCTATGCTATGTTGAAAGCGTGTTATTATTATCACAGCTCGAAAAATATTCCAAATAGTGTGAATTTTTTACAATAACAAAAACGTCATGATTGAAAACAATAAGAATTCAATTATTGTTCATCGATCGGTTAGTGATTGATAATACGACGCGTGATCCTATAACATATATTTGTGAAATGCGAAACTCATTAAAAATGACCTTTTATCCACAATATTACTATTTTAAAATACGTAGTAAAATTGGTTTTTATTTTTAACTCAAACCAATAGCTATTATAAATAATTATTATCTACAACTAATTTTCAATAAACCATTTTCGTCGAATCAGCCTGGATAAATTTATTTTTAATATTAGTTTTTAAATTAATTACTCGAATAATATTTTATAATTATATGTATATTAAGCCATTTAGTGGAGCCCATATAATTTCGAATAAATAAATAAAATATAGTAAAAATAGTTATATTGTTAATCCAACGAAATTATTTACGCTTGAGGCGCCACCAATTTATTTTTTTCTTTTATTTATTTTGTTGGAACAAATTATCTACTCCTTTAAGCCGAAGCTTTTGTTGGAGTAGAGAGTTACATAATTCTGCTAATATATAATATTATTAAGAGAAAAAAGGAAAAAATGAAACAAATAATATTAAGAAAAATAAGATGGTAAACCAAATGTGTACAATATTCGAACAAAAAACAAAATTATTAAGTATATACAAGTGTTAAAAAGGGAAAAAATAAATAAACATATAAATAAATATAATATTTATCAAAGAGCCAAATATGAAGTATTTTTCTTTTGTTAAAATTACATATAAAATAAAATTAAAAAACAGAAAACTAAAAATTAGAAAATAGCCAACTATAAATTATATTTCTCCTGTGTAATATCCCGGTGTAAATATCTTTTTCATTTAAAATAGGCAATTCATTAAAATTTCTGGGACCTAGATAGTTAACAAAGGATTGACCAAAAGATTTTTTGGTTTATTTAATCGGTAGATCAATACATTCTGTTTTCTCTGATATCATTAAAATTTAATTTATGGATATGTGATGAAATAATTTTTTTAATTATGTGGAGTATTACAATTTTTTTATAAAGAATTCTTATTGGCAATGCACCTAGCATTTTATAATTTAAATTAGTAGAGCCTTCTAGTGATTTTTTATTTAATATTATTCTTACTATGCAATTTTGATTTTGTTGTACATTATTTGAATTATTGTCTTTAACACTACCCCAAACTAGAAGGCCATATTGAATAAACGATTGGTAAAACGCAAAATATGTTTACGTATAGTTGTAATCGGTAATATTTATGATCGAATTTATAAATTATACAACGTAACTTGCTCACTAGATTATTTTTATGAAGATCCCACTTTAAGTTATTGTCAAATATGGTAGCTAAGTAGCGGATTTTAACAATTTCTTTTATCTCCTTACAGGTTTGCTGGTTACATTTCTTATATTCATTACAGTTATGTATAATTAGAGAGAAGTTTAGACTAATTATTTTATTTATTGAAAACTTCATATACATGATTTTATCATAATTTAAAAAGAGGCCTATATTCTTTAGGCAAGAGTTAATTAGGTTAAGTTCTTTTATTGCTTTGTGATTTACTTCTTCCCACGAATTATCTGATAACAACAAGCATGTATCATCAACATAAGTAACAATTTTTCCACCTATTTTTAAATCACATATTTCATTGATATATAATAAGAACAGAATTGGGCCGAGCATACTACCCTAAGGAACACCATATTCCAAAATGTTTTCATCACTAAAAGAATCATTCAATTTAACTATTTGCTTTCTATTTGATACATAACTATAAAACCAATTTAAACTTCTATTAGTAGTACCGAAACTCAGTAGAATTTTGGAAGGAATGTTGTGATGTATGGTATCAAGCCTTTGCTAAGTCTAAAATAACAGAAAATACTTTTTTATCATCATCTAAGTTCTCATATAGAAATTGGATAACCTCATACAGTGCATTTACTACTCCTAAACCTGAACTGAAACCATACTGATTCTTTGATAAAAATTGTTATTTTCTAGGTACCTACTTAACTAATCTTTACTTAATAGTTTTTTCAAAAATCTTAGCAAAATTGGTTAACATAGAGATCGGTCTGTAATTAGTCATACTTTTTTGATCTCCTCCCTTGAATAAAGGTTTGATAATGGTCAGGTTAAAATTATCTGGAAAATACCACTCTGAATACTTAAATTAAAAATATTTTCAAGAGTTTTCACAGTTTATACTTTGTTCTTTTAGCACATTATTTTCTTCTCTTATTTCTTTTAGAGCAGACAGTACGTCTCTGATCTACTCACCTAAGTTGTCGAATTTGTTGCTCATAAAATTTACAGAATCTGTTAGATCCTTTAAGTTGTAATCTGCAGTGAAATTATTTGCGACAAAGTTCTTTTTTTGACTATTTTTTCTAGGAGATTGGGATATTGTATTTAAATCAATTTTACACTTCACACGTGACCATTTTAGCCTATTGGCTTTAGACATTTTTCGAAAATTAACTTCTGTCATGGCCATACAATTAAAGTGATAAAACTCATTGCATATTAAACAATTTAATGCATCATCATCAATGATGTCTTCATTACACGAATTGCATAACATGATTAAGACGCCATAAGTACGCAATATAAGTTGAGTAATTAATATAATAAACAAAAACAAGAAAAAGAGATACGAGACCACATTGACTGAATACGTCTGAAACCGTCTATAGCTAAACGATAACTGAAACAAACCAATGTTTGTAATTATTTTTTTATGTACTTAGGTATTATAATAAACAAACAATTTTTGTACACCCAACTATTATGTGGGGCTTCCGAATTAATTTTAAGTACGAGGCCCTAGGCAATAGCCTAAGTTACCTGCCCGCTAACGACGGCACTGGTATAACTAATTATTGTAGCTTTATAGTTTTCGACATTTGGTGACGGAATATATTTTAATTGTTCGATACTATTGTACACTATATGGACGTCATTTGTTCCAAAATCAATATGCTGCCCTTTGATTATTTACGTAGATATATTTTCAATGCTATTCAAAATGCATTGTGTAACTAGAATATATGTATTATTATTCTTCAGAATACATTGTTATATAATGCCTACATATTTTTATCACTCTATCGTTTATTATTTTAAACTTTCATTCAGTAGTAATATAAGAAGCTTAGAATAAACTGTCAACCCAGAGGGAGACATTCGCCCCCATTAAAGAATCAGGAAAATTTAATTAAATTAAAAATGAATTAATGAGAACACGTACTATAATATACCATTAGTATGATTAAATTAAAACGTTTCGACAATTACGATTTCACGTAAAAATTACTAATTACAAACGTAGTGATATTTAGTTGAACAATTTCGTTATGATATTATAATAATTAAATATATTAGAGTACATGTTATTCGGTACACAACCTTCTTAACCGTTTTTAACTTAATATATGCTAAACTTCAGGTTTTTTAATTAAAAATAATTTTTGTTTCATATATGTGTAATATGTGCTATTGTGTTTTTTATTATTTTGCATTTTATGCCACTATAGAAAAAATTGATAATATTAAAAATGGAGTATCCTTATTATATTAGTCGGTCGTTTCTAACTTCAATCCATCATAAGATTATTTATACATACATAATTTTTATCTTGCCAAAAAAGTTTAATTTAAATTAATTATGATATGTTTTATAAATAAAATAACATTGGATCATACTGCAGCGTTATACAAAGCATCACGCAGAATTATAATAACGTAAAATAAACGTTAATATCATAAGAGCTTATGCGAATCACATGATAATAAATTGTTGTTGCAAATTGCAGTGTATTTATATCATACACTCCTTTTAAAAAACAGTGAACCTATGTGATCGACAAAATGAATTATTAATTATTGATAAATCATTACAAGTCACTTATCACCGATACAAGTGTTACGGTTAATAATAAACTAAGAATTATCACTTAGTCAACTTTCATATCTTAGCGTTGAAAAAAAAAACACTAAAAAAGTTTTTAACCCAAAGCGTTGTTCTGTTGTTTAATATAATAATATAACCGTTAAAATGATTATTAGTACATTTTTTAATCATACTCAAAAATATTATAAATTGCCCATGGTTAAAAAGCAGGAAAATAAATTATAAAATCAAAAGAATATACGAGAGATATCAAATAACATGAAAACCTTTTCGGTAATGAGCTTGATATTTAATGATATTGAAATCGTACATGAAATTCAATTTTTCACACGCGAAATCGGTTAGCAATGCTCTATTTCGGATTGCGTTCGAGGAAATTAAGATATCCTCTTAAGTTGTATGCAGAGAAAAATCAACGGCGATGTGCAAAATAATAAAACGTTTATAAGCGACAGATCATCGTTTTCACTCGTAAAGTGCATTCGCTCGTACGCGTCGTTTCATCAAGAGCCGAGTGATTAAGAGTAATCCTAACCTAATGCGGGCAGGATATAATATGTGTCACTAAACAACATTTTATCGCCACGTATTCGGTACAAGCAATAGGCTGACGTGATCCGGTGTGAATGCTGCTCTGCAAAAGGCGTTTTGTTATAACATTGTGCACTCGGCGGTAGAGAAAATAAATGAGAATCCCGATGGTAGGGGAGTTGAAATCCCCACCTGTAGAAATACATAAAAACATCGGTGTTGTTCGATATTATCCTCGATTCGAGCACGTTGCATTTCACAGCTGTTATTCTTACGCGTACGCGGTCGTATACAATCTCGTTACGACCTACGTTAACAAAACAAAAAATCAACATGCTCATAGAGAGCGCTTATTATATTTATACTACTCGTTTTTGTACTGTTAACAAAATTTATTCGAAAACTTAATTGTTTTTGTGACCCGGTGTTGGTGCACGAAAGTTAGAGTTTACATTACAGTACATCATATATTTATATACAGGACCAGCAACATAGTACAGTCTTTCGCATGACGTATACACCATCACTGTTGTCAGTCCAAGGACAAACATACTACTCTTCTTCCATTAGAAAAAAAAAACACCTTAGGTAACCTTCGAGTTCCATTAGGTTTAAGTCACGCGTATTGATAATAATCACGGATTCGTTAATAATTTCATGTTAATAAGTTTCCTCGTAAGTACTCGACTCGTCGTTGTAGGTATTACGGTTTATTAATGCGCAACGTTTATAATAAGTTAGTCATAATAATATTATCGCGTTGAAAACTATCGATTGCGATACGATTATTACTATGTTATCTTTCTACGATATCGATTGGTAAACAAAATATAAGATCTGTAATCGAGTTGTGGAAATAACTTGTTCGATTATTAACTTATTCGCCAACGGCGTACAGAAAACATTACATTCAAGTCAACGTGAACCGTTAAATTATTCTATGATTAATCCTGTAATAATTCGGTATGTTCAAAAGCTTGGCGTATCCCAGACTCAACTTGACGATAAGCCTGTCCGTAACGCCAGTGGTGTATACATAACTTTTGAATGATAGGGGGGGGGATCAGTTGCAAAAAAAAATTATTATGGAAGGAGAATTCCTAAACCTAAGTACCTTTATATAATAAGTAATAAAATATATAATTTATATATATATATTGAATGTGTCAGAATAATAATTTACAATATATCCTTGCAATATTTATATTTTTTTGTTTCTTTAAAATTCCCTTACATTAAGAACACTATTTTATACAATTTTAAAAAGACCTATAGGGGGATCTGACCCCCACATCTTCCCCTTGTATACACCCCTGCGTAACACATATCTTGCTAGTGGGTGTTCAAGGTGACAGTTTCGATTGATATGTAACCTTAGAGAAGTTTAAAAGGAATCTCACAAAAAACGACCTCAAATAATTCGTCGTTAAAATTAAACCATTATTGTGTGCGTTGACATCGTTCGAATTCCTGTAAAATAAACAGTTTTTATACATAAAATTATGAGCTCGGAGTACACAAACCGATTGAATCAATTAAAAATAAATTGTGATTTCAGAACACTCCTTCGATTGATAAACGCGCGTGCACAGGGTCGTCTTTCAAAACATCGTAAACGTCACAGTACGAATGTAAAACTAATAACAATGTTTGTTTGCGTGACTTATTAATAATGCGTATGTTTTGACACCAATGTTTTTCAATTACGAAGTTATTTCATTATCATAAGTATGAACAGTATTTTTTAAATTTCTACTCATGACTAATTTGAAAAATATGATTTCATATTGCTTAACGTTACAGCGAAGTTTTCGCGTGCCTAGGTGCTACACTGTACACGTAAACTTATATGGGGACGTTCACAAACATGAAAATTGATTTTCGGGGGGTGGATAAGAGACTAAAATGCGGTAGGGCGTGACACGACCGGTTCTCGTTCGAAAATTGATGGGAAAAGAAAAATTAATTTTACTATATTATAACACCAAAAACGCCATCAGTAGTGTTGGCATTTGATTTGATTTTAACTATGGCGTTTGAACAAAAAATATATATTGTTTCGCAGTGGAATCGGCCGTCTCGCACGGTTCGAAAGACCCTGTACACGAATATTACTACACGTACGTTCATAATGTAATGTGCACTTTTGTGTGTTAATATGTTTATCCGGAGTGGGGACGATGCAACGCGATCACCCGTAGAGGAATAGCTTCACGTTTTTCTTTTTTTTTTTTTTTTTTTCATGGCTATGACTCATGCTAAATTTAACGCCGACAACAAACATTAACATCACAGAATACTCTCTCGGTTCAGTCTGTGCCGGCCGGTCAACGCGTACAAACACCGTCCTACGATATTCAGTACATTTACTTTGTTTTTCGTTTCAGTACACTCCGCCGTTCGTCGCCACCGACCGATATCGTCATGTCTTACTACGCGACTAGAGTGAGTATACCCGCGGACAGCCCGTGGTTTAACATATAATATTAAATATAATATTAATGTAATATATACATAACTATATAGACTAACTGTAATACACCGCGAACAGTGACGTATTTGAGATTTTTCTCAGATAACTAGGACGTTAATATTAATCCAATAACGAAATGTAAATATCCATAGTTATATCAATCGGCATAAATTTAACAACGATAGATGATTGTTATCGTGTCGTAAAAATTTCAAACATTCATATAAGACTAAAGTAATACCATAATTGAAATGTGTATTCAGAGAAAAAAAAAAAAGCTCAATCACAACCCTATAAATACACCACTAAAAATGAGTATAAAATGCTCTGTCGTTGTACTGTGTACGAGTAGCAATCGTTAACCGATAACTATTATTTTCTTCTTGTTTTATTCAGTGCACTCCCACGGTACGCCCGGCCGAGGATTTCGACGCCAACGCCGACGCCACTGTTCTCAGAACCGCCATGAAAGGATTCGGTACGGATGAACAAGCCATCATTGACGTGTTGGCCAGACGATCCAACTCTCAGAGGCAGGAGATCAAAGAAGCGTTTAAAACGCTCTACGGAAAGGTATACATAAAAAAGAAAACAAACCCTGTTATTTTTTGTATATGATTTTGTTTAATTAATTATTTTTTACTGGAAAACAATACCATATTTCCTCAACTTAAAAGCTGTAGTCCACAGAAAAGAGTTACGCAAAAAAAAAATAAAATTTATTAACTAATAAAAAAAATGTACATATTAATAAGATTAATAATTAGGCTCAAATAAGTATTTTAGTATTTATAACACATGGGTCCTGAAATAACCTACTTTATTTATGACCTATTTTGCGGGTTATGATATCAAAAAGATTATAAATCGATGCCTAATATCAATGTTTTCAATATGTTATTTTCATTCAGAAGACATAAATACTGTATTTCCGAGCGTTGCGTAAACCGATCGATGTTGCGGTCGGTTGACCTTAAAAACGAAGAAAAATATTTTTCGTTTTTACATAGGTACCATACGCATTGTAAAAATATTTAAACATCGCAAGTATCTCATATACGTTCGCATACTTCGGGAGTGGGAGTCTCTGCGGTTATTCGGTTCGCTTTCGTTCGCACCAGTCGGTCTGAAATCAATTAAACCGTACGTTTTTATTTTTTCCATTTTAAATATAGTATACAGTGTGTCTAAAAATTGTTGAGAAATCCTACGTTTTTGTATAGTGAAGATTACACGCAGATTAACGCACATATAATCGCACGATTATAATATAAAATATGTACCAGGTTTATAATATACCTGTAAATTCAATTAAACGTTAATTTAATTTAATTAACGTTTATTTGCTGTATAATATGCTACCGGAAATTTATATACCTGCACATTTAAAATTTCTAAACTTTCTAATCACTCCGTATAGTCTACCATTGATACCGGATGATACTACTTGCGCTGCGGCCATGATTCGTTTTGACTCGGCAAAATACAAAACACGCGTTCAACGATAACCCTGTTGTAATGCACAGCAATAAAGTTAAGAGTATAAATTCGTTCAAAGTATACACCAATCACCGCTTATTGTATTAATTTTGGGACTTGGTATTTAAGTACGTTAACCGAATAAGTAAATAGGGCGAAAGAACCGCGAAAAAAATTCCCCCATGTTTTATTCAAAAAATATAAACCAATTTAAAACATTAATTAAGAAATATATTTTTATTTATTAAGCTTAGCTTCGCGAAGATATTCACACATAATAATCACATAATATATGGGTCAAATAAAAAATAGAAACATTTGTTTCTGTCACTGACAAAAAATAAACAATTTTTTTTCACTGAGAATTTGCTCCATAATGTTTAAATGACGCTAAAACGAAATCTAAAATACATGTACCTAAATTATTTTTTATAGAAATCTATCTTATTATTAATTATTAATGAGTTTTTCAATGACTCTATAAATTTCTGTAGTGATGAGTCTAATAAACGAATTTGTTTTTTTTTTGTGTGTTAGTTTACATGCAAATTAAGACATCCAGTTTTAAGTCTAATAGAGGCAAATTAATCAAGTAACCATGGCCCAATAAGCAACTATTATTATGTGTATACGTTTACGTATAATATAATATCATATGCTTCCCGAACGAGTTTCACTAATTTTTTTAGATTTATTAACATATTAACTATATGCAAATGTTGTATTAATTTCATAATGTTCCTAAACGACTAATTATTCACCCGTATGCACTATAATAATAATTGTAAATTTAATATGCATTTCAAAATTTATTTTTATTTTTTTTTTTGTTTATTCTACATAATTTATCAAATACCTTCAAATGTTTTGCCAACTGTCAACAGAAATTACGAGCACAGATAGTTGTTTGCTGATTTACTACGCCAGTGCTTCCCAAACTTTTTCAACTCACGGTGCCCTTTTTGATGTAAGGTTTTTTTAGGGCACCCTTCGCCATGTCATAACACGACTAATCATAAGGAAAATTTTAGACCGTATAGTATTTCACGACGGCGTGACACCCCTTTACAGACATCGTGGCGCACACTTTGGGAACCGCTGGACTACGCGATACATTTTGTATACTTGATGTAATTCATTGTGAATTCTATGACGAAATAAAGAATTTTCTAATAGTAAAATGTTTCATATGATTTGATATGATCTAAATCTCTAAACCATTGCATCTAAATAAAACTCGTCATTTGTGTCGTGTAGTTAAATAGTTAGAATGTCGTGATTTCTGCAGCATATAACATTATAATGAAACGACCATTATATGTTGAAATCATTAGGTTAGGTTAATGTGTTAATATTAATTTCTTTAATTGACAATAAATAACGATATCATATTGTACAATTATAAGATGCCAAAAGTCTGTGTTTTCTGAAAATAGTCGCGTTGGCCTTGGTCAATGGCATATTCTGTCAAAATTTTGCAGCAGTCGAATTCATCGTAATTCTAGAATCCTTTCTGCTTCGGACAATTGTAATTTATTATGAACAGTTTTACATTAAAGTTTTTCATAAAAATACAATTTAATAAACTATTGTCCGACACTAAATGTACAAATCATTACACATTATTACAAACTGTACATTGCTTTCGTCAAAAAAATGCCTATCTAATAGATTGCAAATAAAATACTAATTTCTAAGACCTTAATTGGATGTGATAATTGTCCGTTTAATCTAAATGTAAAGTTCAAACAAATGCATAGCGTATGATAAAATTAATTATCTGTAGCCGGAATATGTTCATAATGAATATCAATATTTCATGACACATTGTCTTATAGGTTACAAACAAAAAAGTGTTTACATTTCTAACAACAGTAATAACGATCATTCAAACCAATTGCTATCTCCACGATTTCGAATCAAATCGAAATGCGAATATCACGTTATAACGTACGCTATTGAAGTGAAAAAATAACTGCCTTCCTTTAAATGTTACGGTATACCGAAACAATAGTGCCGTTCGTATGTCGCGGTGGTTCCGACGGTATTTATTTTAAACGTTAAATTCGTGGCCTTATCGTTGCTGTTATTGACGCAGACGAAGGACGTGTGTTATCGTCGAACTTAGTTATTATTCTTTTGTCCGTCCAACACCGCGTATTGTTTCGCATTACTTCCCGCGGTGCACTTCGCATCGGCGGTACCACCCTATCGCGCGAATCTACGCGTTATCGTAACAACCGTGTCAAGAAAACGCGCGTAAAAGTACGTCTGTGAACCGCAAAATGTAAACAACAACATACTTCGTGGACTTTTAGGACTTGATCGACGATTTAAAAAGCGAACTCGGCGGGAACTTCGAGAACGCCATCGTCGCTCTGATGACCCCGCTACCGGAGTTCTACGCCAAGGAGCTGCACGACGCCATCAGCGGCGTGGGCACCGACGAGGAGGCCATAGCCGAGATCTTGGGCACGCTCAGCAATTACGGCGTCCGCACCATTTCCTCCGTCTACGAAAACCGTAAGCTATCCTTGTCCTACGAAGTGCATAACAGGTTGTGCAGGATAATAAACGTTTTCGTTTTACAGTGTACGGAAACTCGTTGGAAGACGATCTGAAATCCGACACTTCGGGATCCTTCCAAAGACTGCTGGTGTCGTTGTGTTGTGTAAGTACCTCCTAACCCGTTACCTAAACATACGTTCCTAAAACATCGACACGCGCGACCAACTGAACGACGAGTGTGTTTACCAAACGCCGGTCGCTTCAGCGTTTCGCGGGTTTAGAGTAAATGGATTTTTTACGTTACTTATGGGCTGGGAAACGATGAACGTTACATTTAGTGCGAATTGTACACGCAGCATCGATTCACAGTCTAAAGGGAAAAAGTTTAAAGCACAGTCGATTCTGGCGGATAAACATTTGTCCCTCGTCCTCCTGTCATCTATAATACGAGTATATGTAATGTAAATTTATACATGATATATTATAAGACGAAATATCTTCGTATCGTTGTTCCAGGCCAACCGCGAGGAAGACGTGGAAGTCGATCGCAGTGCCGCAGTCGCTGACGCTCAGGCTTTGATCGATGCTGGTGCGTTTACCGTATTTTGCAGTTTGTTTTTTCGATAAAAAAAAAAAAAAAAAAACTTCGAAAAAATATTTAATAACGTTATGTGTAACCATCGTTATTACCGGTGTTCTCGTTTCAGGCGAAGCTCAATGGGGCACAGACGAGTCGACTTTCAACTCGATCCTGGCCACTCGTTCCTATCCGCAGCTGAGAGCCATTTTCGAAGAGTACGAAAACCTCTCCGGCAAGGATATAGAAGAAACCATCAAGAACGAGACTTCCGGCTCTTTGGAACATGGTTTTCTTACAATCGGTATACATACTAAAGCTAAGGTCATCCCTTATTCTCTGTCTACCATTATGGGCGATGAATTCTTAACGTCTAAAAATATGATTTGATTTTGCCATACTCACTATCGCCGTTCAAACAGAACAATTTTAAACATTAATATCACGGTTTTATAGATGATATTTCTTTAAAATATTAAAATTTATACATTTCCATCAACATTTTTAGTAGGTAGACATAATAATATTAATTTATTTTTTAATTTATTTTTATATCTTTCTACGATTAACTGTACCTTCGTATCGTACAATGTAAACTGTATAATCACCGTTGAAGTTTATAAACTATTCTTGACAATATTGTATTTATAAACCATATAATTATAGTGCATTTTACTATACCACTGATTTTCATATAGAATATAATTTCTCTAATACGACGAGGTCAGTACAATCGATACTTTTTCCATCATTGAAATTAATTGACTACGGTACAAATTATTTCTTATGCGTTTATATATCAGTTGAATTAAAGAGTGAATATTCCTTATACAACTTAAAAATATAATACATAACTCTTAGATTTCATACAAGTATGATACAGGTTCATCATAACATATTACAGTTACATGAGGTTTAGCACCTCCTTTAATAATTATCGTCCTATGCATTGATACTATATTTTTGGATATTATCTGTCGTTTCTGTCCGCAGTGAAAAGCGCTAAGAAGAAGAGCGACTACTACGCCAATCAGCTGGAAGCTTCCATGGCAGGAATGGGCACCAACGACCGTCAGTTGATCAGAATCATCGTGGGCAGATCCGAGATCGATTTGGGTGACATTAAACAGTCTTACGAGAACATTTACGGTACACCGTTGGTAGACCGAATCTCCGTAAGTTTCTCGGCCGTCTATTAGACGTCCGTTTTATTTACCCACATAATATTACAATTAACGACTAAAAAGCAATTACAACACGATTTATATTCATAAATTGTCTAATAAAGTAATTGGCAATAAGTATGATAAGACGTACGTGTTAGTATACACGTCGTTCCAGTAAAACGCTGAGGTTGAGGACGTAAACGCTTCACAGCTGCTGCTGCAGTTGTCTGTAAAAACAAACGAACTGCAGTATACGATAAAGTTTCCTGATGCCGTAAATATGATTTCGCTTTGTTTTTGACTCTGTAATGTTAGATTACGCTCGCCGATAAAATATAAATATAACAGCTCGTTGATATAAAATATTTTGTTGAACTAATTTCGATTTAATATTATATAATATGATATAACAATTTAAGAGTATATTCTTGTCCGTGGGGTACGAGTATTTCCAAAACGTTTTTCCATTTTTTATACGGTTCGCGTGAATTGATTGCGATACACTATTACTGAATGTACGATAGTTAATGCGTTTTAGGCAGTATTGAAAATTTTTGCATTCCAAAAACCACTGTTTTTATACCATCGTTGACCTAGTTGTTACAGTTAAATTAATGCATTACGCGTGCCGACGGAGTAATTAGTGATATATTATCATTATCGTTATTTTTCCACGACAATATAGAACTAAACGAGGTATACTATTCGTATTTCGACGTAATATTACGATTTATGACCACATTGCAGACGTGGTAAGTTTGAAAAAATAGGTACATCGTATACGCTATATTCATATCGGTATCACATATACTACTGATTTATATACACTATCCAATGACATTCATATAGTACATTTACAATATGAATGTCATTAGAAATCATACATAAATCAGTACACAAACGTCACTTGTTATATCTTACAATACATGATTATGAATATTAACGTGTACGCGGTACGTAATTAAATCGACGAAAAATTTCTTACGAATTTCATGAAAAACGTTTTTTTTTCTTTTAAATCACCTATAACGTTTTTTGTTGAACGCGTATTGACCCAATGACTGCATTATAATATATATACATATAATATATATATAATACAAGTCACCGCGAATCACTTTTCAGGACCCAAATAGCGCAATTACTGTTTCGTAAACAAAAACGTCGTAAGTCACTGTAAAATGATTTTGAGAAAAATATGTTTCTGTATTTTGCATTTTCTTAAAATTATAACTCTTTTTACATTATAGTTATTTAAATATGATATATTTTTTCCTGTGTAATTTTACCAGACGAATATGATAAAACAAAAATAAATTTTGATTAAATTAATTTTCAGCAAGATATTTTACTTTTCACGTGACACCTTGTATTGGTAATAACTATATAAATTAAAAAAAATGTATTTATTATATTCTTAATGCATAATTTGTATAATTAGCATGTTGGAATATTTTGTCAAAAACTTTGTTTGTTGTCTGAGAGAACTTGAGACAAGTTTTCTTATATATTATCTCGTTATTTTCTTATCATATTATTAATAAAATTTTCTAACATTATTTTCTTTATTAATTTTACAAATTTAAATTGTATAATACTTGAACATGACAACGGTACAATGTTAAGTAAACCGCACTGTATAAAATAAAACTAATAAAACATCGAAAAAATTAACTATAAATAAATTAATCGATCGTCCCACTTGCTTTGCGATAAGTAAACCGGTACGTGTTACTAATCCAAAATGCCGTCAATTATAATTTATACTACATACTAAGATAAAATGCCGTATCTTCAACAATACTTACGGCGTTATTATCTAACACCCACGATTTTTTCTACAATTTACGACGTTTTAGTCATTTGATTATTACTTACATTATATTCTTTTGGAGTAGTTTTACAATTATTGATTTGTTTTTACCTCATTTTGGGACTTACGGCGTTTTTGCTTACAACGGTAAAGTACTTACTTCTATATAAACTCCTACTCTGTAAATTATCGTTGGTTTTTTTTTTTTTTTTTCGATGTTATTGAAAACCAACGCGTCGGAGAGGACGACAACCACCCATTTCCACGCGACGATGAGACTATACTGCACGTTCGATTTGTACAGATAACAGCGCAGAACGCAAAAATTTAAACATTTATACACCCGCAGTCGCATCTTCATGTACCTATACCTGTATAATATAATTTGTAATATGTTGTGTGTGCACTGTAGTCATTTGTAGGCAATGCGCGCAACTGATATCAATACAATGAACTCGAACGATTATTAATCGCGAGCACAGCAGTCTTGATCACGGACGCCCAACGTTAAACATAACGTGTACTATACGCGTCAGTGGTTCTCAATCGATGGTCAACGGTTGTATTGATATATATCAGCCGCTTGGACTTGGACGAGGTTATGAACAATAATAAAGGCTTCAATCGTCTCGTAAAATACGAACGTCAACGCAAACGCTGTCATTTGTGTATGATTTACATTATGTAGTATTGATTACCGAGAAGATGTTTTAAGAGCTGAATCGATTACACGTTTTCATAGTTCTATCTAAGGGTCCGCGGTTTCACGTTGATTGGGAACCACTCCTGCTGTACAGTACTAATCGAACGGAACGATTTTCTCGTTTTCCAACGGGCGTGGTATCTAAACCCAACAGCACACGTATTTTATTATATTGTACGTAACAGGTATACCGCATGCGACCGCGGTCATTATCGGCACTTGACCACTATACGTTGATACATATCGGTTAATGAGGTTTTGTTTTAGGGCGACACCTCTGGGGATTACAAGCGTCTGTTATTGGCCCTCGTGCGCTAGTAGAGCTTTGAAATGCATGAGGAAAGGGCACGTCGATATTCTTGCTTGTACCAACTTTTCATACTTCATGTAAATAACAGATTATTATTTTGCTATCATTTGTTATTAATTTTTATTTGCTGAAAATATTTACGAATAATTATTATATTATTATTACGTTGTGTTAATTATTCATTTGCCAATTTCATTATTATTATCATTTTTTTTTTAACGCGACAAACGCGTAACTACCAACATACATACGTAGATATTACGTAGGTAACCGTGAAGCTGTTGTTTTCGCAGTACATTTCGCGAATTCACAACGCAAAATAGTCTTATGCGTCTCGAGTCAAACTTCGTTTTCGACCGTGTTCTGAAACTGTCAAAGTTAGAATAATTGAATAATTGATCAGAACACGAAATCGAGAAGAACGAATAACTTATTTATTTATTGATAATAAACGTCCTCTTATATGGGCATTTATTCACATCGTTACCGTTCTAGTATTTTTATCGATTTTTAACAGAAGACGGTTTTACACGAGAAAAAAAATTACAAAATAATATGGTGTTCTTATCTAGAGAAAATATTATAGAAAAATAACAATCTTTAATCACGTCGAGTAAGTGGAATAGTCAACAATATTGAAGTTTGACTCGTTTCTTTGGTTTTTTCGCACAATCACCGTACCGTACCATCGACTTGACTTACGCCACGACATCGTATTAAATACCTTAGAATGCAGCACAAAAAATAAAACAATATTATAACACAGAATAACAAAAGCAATAATAATTCGGGGTATCTAACTCTTCGCTTGCATAGTAACACAGCGTCAGTGGTATCCGAACTATATTACGACGAGAGCACGCGCGAGTTATTTTAAGAGTTTTGTTAACAATAAAAAACACGAATGCAACAATTATTGTAAAACGTAATCTTCATGAGAAATATTTAACGCGCAACGAAATGATAATAATCACAATAATATTAATGGCGAATAACTTTATAACGTAGGGAACAAACTTATTTACAGTTTGATCTGTATAAAATGTATTCGCTTCGGATAACTGTTGAAAATACTCCGTTAAAGCCGTTAACCGATCAAAATTGGTTAATTTTGCATACGTTTTATCAACATTTTCCTGTTTATCGTGAAGTAACCATAAGGTTTTATATTAAAATGATTCGTTTTTTTTTTTTTTTTTTTTGATTTCGCTGAAATCTAAATTTTTGCCATCCGCGCACATACAGTTCAGAGTCCTGCTGATAACACAGTACTATAGCGAGACAACATAATGTTCGATAACACGATACATACACGTTTTGTACTCAATTTATTATTCTCAGTGCAATTATTTTACTTAAGAGCGGCGCGTTTGTGTGCGAGAAAAAAAAATATGCGTGTACCCGGAGAAATCGAACCAAAGTTGTATTATTATTATATTGATGGAAAAAATGATTTTAAGCGCTTATATATATTTGTTTTTTTGTTCTCAGAGCGATTGTGGTTCAGATTTCAAAAATTTGCTTATCACACTAGTATTGCAATAAGATATTTAAAAAGCTTATTCATTCCACGGTCGTCGTGAACGTGCACCGATTACTCTACCACCACTACTAGACTAATAAAATTAGTATAAAAAATACTACAAACTAAAAACATTACTACAAACATTTATTTGAACATATTATATACATATTGTATACTTACGGTACAGCAATAGTTGACTGTTTTTCAATCACCATAAATAATATTACACGTACAGTTGGTATTGATATTATAACTATTTTTTTTTATTCCGCCCAAATAATGCCTATAGTATTTTTTTACGAGACGCGTATATCCCAAATTTACCCACTCACTGCTGTAAACATTTTAAGTTAAACGAATATTTTTAATAAGACCTATTTTCGCGCAATACACACGCAGCATTCACATTTAATATGAAGTAACTTTTACACACGATTAATATATTTATACTATATATATATATTATTATGCTATTATAATATTTACACAAATATCGTTAAATAAAATATTTTATTTCTGCGTTGATTTGATTGGCTTGTTATTTATTTGCATACTCTTATACGTACGTACCCACGTACGCCTGCAAGGTTTACTGTTTGGTAAAAAAAAAAATGTTGCACGAAAAAAAACCCAACACTGCTGCTATATTATCGCCTATTATCCTTAATCGGTAGCATAACAATTTACGCGTATTTTGGGTACCTAGAGAATAAGCACTGAAGTGGTATCGGGAAGCACATAATTTAACGTATTTTAATGAATTTTTACGCAACTCGTTGATCGCTAAATGGCGTTTACGAGAAAAGTTTTCTGCGAACGGTAGGTACATCAAGTGCGATTCTTCCAGAGCCTCGGGGAATATCATACGCAGTTATTAATTAGCATAAACGTTTAGTTAAAAAAAAAAAAAAAAACAAAAAAAATTTAAAAACGACGAGTCGCATTTGAATACGTCGCGGCTGACGGGTACAACTCATCGACGGGAATCGAACCGAATTTCGGCACCGGCGTACGGGTAAACCAAGGGCACAACATTTTTCTGCGGTAGTTCTGGTAGTTCAACAGTCGTTTCTTGTTCCGGGACAACGGACGGTTTTAGTAGCAGGACATGCGGAGGATAGCCGGACGCCGTCATCCTCTCGTGTAACGAAATCAACTGCATAAGACCCATCCCCGCGGGGACGGGTTGGATGAAATTCGGTTCCGGTCATTTCGCATTGGCGACCCGCTGAGATCGCGTTGAAACGTAACGTAAACATTGTGCGCAAAGAAATACGTTTTCACATACACCTCAGTAAGATATCGGTTCGGTTTCGTAATACCGACTCTCGCGGCAAACACGAGATCCGTCTCGACCCGTACCAGTCTTATCGTCTCCGTTCAGCCGGTCCACCTTTGGGTCTCGGTCGCCGTTCATAGCAGAATGTCGGCGTCGCCGGACTAGTGCACGATTGGGCATTCACGTGCACCTATGTCGTAAAGTTTAGTGGGGCCTGGAGCAGCTGAAAGCATGGGACCTATACAGTGGTGGTTATGGGGTTAACAGAGTTTCAAGTTGGGGGCAGCGAATATTTTTATCGGCCCTTACATGAGTACTAGATTAACATTTTTAAGCTCAAATTTAAGCTTCAAAGCATAATTAAAGTTTAAACACAGAAAAAATTAGCTTGGTAGCAATACACTTTTTGGATAACCAACTTATTTTGTATTGAGCATTACCGGTGTGGCGGCCCATACAAATATATTCAAACCGTCCAGGGGCAGCAAGAGCACGCCTTGCTGTCCCTGTGCGCACGCCTATGGTACGAGCGAGTGTGTTTTCCGTTTCAGAGCGATTGCGAAGCGGACTGCAAGAGTCTACTGATGGCAGTCGTCGACCAATAAATTCCGCGGCCGTGCCAATATTACTATAATACTCGTACGGCTACGACGAATCTTACTCGTTATAACTGGCGGTTTTATTTCTATATTTTATACATATTATTATATTGTAATCAACAGTGCAGTACTATGTTAACGTCGTCGAGACAAGTCATTCGATATTACGATCAGCACCAGCGGCGGACGCAGAAAAACATTTAGGGGTGAGGGGTTGAAAATATTTAAAAGATGTAAAATGTTTCATTACCCACTCATTTTATAAAACATTTATATTTGTGTATTTTGTTTGCAAGTCTCACGGAAAACTTTGAAATAACAATTAAATGTTTCGGTCAGGTCATTTTTTTCTGATACTTCGGGGAGGAGATTAAACCCTTAATACCCTGCGTTCGCGCTTGTTAAGCACCAATATTTATATTCAGTAGAAGCATACATATATGTACATATGTTAAGCACACGCACATTGGCATCTATTTACTTAATCGTTCCACGTATAACTGTTGAAAACATACAAATATGGCATAGCTTTGTTAATATTATTATTAATTATTATTGTTACACTACTATGATAAAATATTGTCCAAATTATTATAATTATTATAACTGCTTCAATAAATGTTAATTGTTTATTCATTTATAATATTATTTATAGCTCCTGGTAGGTATATATTCATGATCCAGAGTGAGTCAAAAAAAAAAAAAATCTTAAAGTACCTAAGACCAACTTTCAATAATTCACATTTTTAAAACCTTATCATGTTGGTTATACAGGTTTAAAACTTAAATTTCATTGATTGAATAATAGTTCAAATAAATATACATAATTTTTAGTAGAACATGTTTATAGAAATAAATTTAATGATAAATATTACATTATATTTGGATGAGAGCCAATTATTACCTATTATCCAAGTCACGTGTTAGATATTGTAATGAGCACTCATTAACCAACATCACACAAAAGGTACATCTATATAAAAAATTACATCAAATCACATACAATCACAAAGAACGTTTATCACAAGTTTTGTGATAAATTAATAGGTATTTGATATCTCCATAATTCACATCAGGTAATTGGAAAAATGTGAATTTGTTCTATCAAATAATAATTAGAAAAATATAACAATACAAATATACCATTGTATAATATTAAATTGTAAAAAAAAAATATTTATATCAGACAGAAAAATATAGAGTGCATTTACTATAAAATATCAGAACTCAATAAAAAAAAAAAAAAAAAAAAAAAAAAAACGGTGAAATATAAATATAACCAATAATATCATTAATTTATGTTAGTACAAAGAATAATTTCCAGAATTGAATGTTGATTTTACACCAAAATTATATATATATATTTAAGTTTTTAAAATATAATACACATTATGATACAAAACAAATAAATGCAATTTTTGGTATAAAGTTAAACATAAATATAGTTGTGCTATTAGTTATTTCATTTTACATTATTTGTTTCGATGTTTTTTATTCACATTTTTCTACTAACTCATCTTATACATAATATAAAGGTGTGGAATTGAATTTAACAATTAAAAGCAAAAAAAAAAAATGATGTGATTACATTATAAAATGAAATAGAACAGCTTCAAACTGTATTTGTGTATTTAATATTATTTTTATCAATAAAAATATCTCATTTTTTTTTAAATAATAGTGCAAAAATTACACGAGACAACCTAATTTAAAAAATAGGTTTACAAATATATTAATATTAAACATTTCCACAATAATTTTTTTATTTAATTTAAATATGTGTTTAATATCTGATAAATAAAAATAATAGAACCCCAATTATGTACATAAAAAATAATAATAAATAAATAAATAAATAATAGTAATAAGACAATTTTACAAGTAAAAAAATATTAATCACATAATAATTTGAGGATCGGGTACCGAAGAGCTGATTGATTTGTGTGGTAGAACCTGTCCACCATTGATGTACAGTTCATCTTTGACTATTACATCTTCACCGAGTACTGTGGTATTTTCCATACGCACCCAACATCCAACTACGGAACGCCATCCAATTATACAAGAGTCTAACCACGTATGAGATTTGACCGTAGCTCCTGCAAGTATAGTGCACCTTTTTAAGCAGGCTCCATCTTCAATGGTTACGTTGGGACCAATAGTAACATTCGGACCAATTCTACAACCTTCGCCAATCTTTGCTGTTGGGTCTATTAGAACATTACCTATAACACCATCAGCAGTGTATAGCAAGGATGGTATACGAGTCCTTAAAGATGTCAAATACATGCACATTCCTGTAAAATAATAGTTTGATTATAGATATATCAATAACTATAGACATAAATTTATTATTATTTCATGGTATCTACTTAAACTATCAACTAACCAGTAAGGAAATCTTTTGGTTGTCCTACATCCATCCAAAATCCTTTCAAATTAAATGCATACAATTGACCGTCTTTGGCCATAAATGGGAACACTTCCTTTTCAATGCTCATTGGCTCCAATTTAATCCTATCTAACACGGATGGATTTAAAATATACATGCCAGCATTGATTTTATTGGACACAAACTCTTGGGGTTTTTCAATAAAACTATCAATGCGACCAGTCTCTTCGTCATACATCACCACACCATACTTTGACGGCTCTTCGACCTTGGTCACCACAATAGTGCCTTCACGACCATGCGATTTATGGAACGCAATCAAGTCTTTAAATGGATATTCACAAATAATATCCGAGTTTAAAACAAAAAACGGTTGGTTTTGTTCATTGGCCAACAGGTGTTTGGCTAAAGCTAACGGACCAGCTGTACCGAGCGGTTCGGATTCGTGTGAAAAAACTAGTCGAACACCTAGTTTCTTGGCCTCATCACTCATCTCTTTTTCCATTTGTTCAGCACGATACGAAACAGCCAGTATTACCTACATTAAACAGTGAAATAAAAATGTGTCAATAATTGTTTATCGAAAAACCAACGAACACGGATTGGGTAAGATGCACATAATGATCGCGGTTGGAACCGAACGATCACACGAGTAAGAAAATCTTCTACGAATACGAAAATCGGGACAACGAAGAAGTTTAGCGTATAAAGCAATTCGATAAACGTATTATAGACGGTCGAACGATGCAGATACTAACGTTCCTAGCCGAGCACTCGGTCGCAATACGGTTTATCGAATTCGGTGCACCGAAACGCAACGGGCGGCGGTCAACAAAGTACTTACCTCGCGTACTCCGACGGTGACCAAAGCCTCGATTTGATGGAGTATCATCGGTTTGTTGGCGAACTCGACCAACGGTTTGGGCCGGCTCAGCGTCAGCGGACGCAGGCGCGTGCCGTAACCGCCGACCAGTATGAGGGCTTTGGTCTCGGCCATCTTGGCGGTGTCGACGCCGCACATCAGCAGCGAGCGGACATCGTTCCGGCCGGTGGCGAGCGTACGGTGTCGATTTCGTTTGGCTCCAGTCGCGCACCGACTCGGACGTAGACGCGTAGTAGTAGTAATAGTAGTAGCAGTCGTATATCAGGTGCAACCGGTGCCGGACGGCAGACGCTGTTTTTCGAAACGCGGACGGTCCATGGTGCACGGTATCGATTATCGATGAGCGCGACGGATAACGTAAAAGTAAAAAAAAAAAAAAACGAAAACGGACGTGTGCCACGTAAGTCGGTCGGAAACGCGGGCCGCTCGCAGCGTATCCAATATATCGTCGTTCCCGATCGCCTCGCACGCTCGACCGTTCGCACTCGTTCGTTCTCCGTCGCTCCCTCCGACGGTTTATCATGCCGGAGACCGATTCGTGGAATTTCTGACACGCGCCGCCGTCGCACGCACGTACGCGCCCAACACACGCCCGCACGGCGCGTGCGCACGCGGCCCAGCACTTCCTCTCGATGCGCGCCATGGTGAACGTCGACGGCGGCGTAAACACGAACAGCTGTCCTGCCTGCCTGCGACGTGAACGATCATTGTTCGTCGGAAATACCTGTTCGGTCGTCATCGCGCACTGACGGACCCGCAGCCGCCCCCCATAGGCGGTCATCGGGTGACGGAGGGGGGGATTTTGCCCCGCGAAATCGAAACTTTGTTAGAAACGTTATTCGTTGTCTTTGAAAATCGTAAAATAAGAAATAATAAAAAAAAACTATTTGCAATAGCATTAACAATACCGATTACATGGTTTGGCTGCTCGCGAAACAAGTTTCAGTGCGATGAAAAAAATAAAACCTTGGCTAAGGACACCGTTGGTTCGAGATGGGTTCGGCGATCTTTCAATACTATATACTGAAAAAGATGTATCGAAAAATATAAAAAGCGATGATATTTTGAATACCTTTGCTGATACCAATAGATGTTTGTCATTAAAATAAAATATTAATTATTTTTAAATATACGTTATTTAGTGTTTCCTTTACACAATTTAAACATATCTATATATATAATGGTCATAAGTTGTGCATGGGTAGGGGGTATGGGGGCGAAGCCCCTGCGGGTAATTTTACATTGAATTGTTGTAGACCCCCCCAAAAATTCAACCAAATGTCCGTCTATGGGCAATGCTCGACTTGGCAAAATTAAAGAAGAGGGACTCTATTTTCTTTAAATAAAAAGAAGGTCCCCAAAACTGGCCGAGCGTTATGATTATAGCGTAATAATAGTAGGGGGACGCTAAAATTTCTGAAAATTAGTTAGGGTACTCCATCCCCCCTTAAGTCGGACACTACCTATGGGCCATCCGCACACTCGACCGGCGTTCGTTTGATCATTCGTGGGCGTCTCGGCGGATACGGTTATGGTGTCCATCAGCTGTTACCGCGACCACGCGACTGATATCGTAATTGTTGTTCACAGCCGTCTGCAGTACTCTCGATCGCCGGCAGATCGCGCGCTGCGATGATCGCCCGCGTAACTAGGAGTTTTCCGAATCACTCGTGTACATGGGCGTCCCCAGAGGGGGGGGGGGCAAGACGAGGCACTTGCCCCCCCTGGAATAATGTTATTTCCACAGAAATTGGTAAAATGACTGACACAATTTGGTAGAGAATGTCCACGGAGATTGAAATTTATATTTAATGAAAAAGAATGATGTATAATAATATTTTTTAATGTTTAAATTGTAATAATAATACCTACCTAATTGTAATGTTTTAATTCATAATTTTAATAATGACAAAATATAATAATTTACTATAAATAAAATGTATAAAAAAATTTTCATTTATTTTTTAAATTAATTTCCCCCCCCCCACTAGAAAAATGTCTGGGAACGCCCATGCTCGTGTACGTGAAGTTGGCCCACCCTTTTATTACGGGTTAACTCAAGACCTGTACCGATTTTATCGAGTTGTCATACCATACTTCAATCCATTTATCTGTTCTAGATTAAAACTTTTTCAGACTGATCGGATCTGTGAACGAAAAGAAGGAGATTTATTATTATTAAATACTTGTACAAACTTGCACCAGACAACAACTTGGCTGAATCGCCTTATATATACCTATATGTGTTTATTACTGAATTTATACCTTTAAATCGATTGTCAAGTTGAGAGCGTATAGTAGAATACTGATACTATGGACCGTTCTTCAGGATCTGCAAGCCTTCAGATCTTCTGAAAGCTCATCGAAATGTCTACTCTTCTTCTTTAATCGTTTTTGTAAAAAACTGAATTTGTAGTCCCCACTTAGTACAAACACTACTTGCCTCTTCAACCAATAAATCAAACGAATCTTGAAGTTCAGCCATTTATGACACTGCATTATGTCTATCGATTCAGCTTGCAGTGATGTTGATGCAATATTTAAACTTTTCAGAATTTGACACTGAATAACCATTAGATAATAGAATAATTCAAACGATTCCAAGGCTTTTTGGAAGCCAATCACCTTATATATTTTTTTACTAATCAAAGTTATGTAAGATAAAGCTTTAAGTACATCACTAAATCTTTCTTTAAGGGTATAAACCATACCTGTCTGTATCTACATGGCCAACGTGTAGGATTGAGTGTTTTCAAAGTAATATCTGACAAAGATTCTGAAAAAACATTCGACTTTTCCTATCGTACAAAGCTCAATCCAAAAAACAATTGTAGATATTTTGTACATTTTTAAAAAACTAAGATATATCTCGTCGTTCTTGCTCGTTTCCTACAGAGAATCCTGCCGCTATCCGCCGCCGCGTTTTTATTTTCAAATAATACACGGCGACCCGTTATCGTATGTTGCTCGGCGGTGAACGGGTAAAATAATATTATTGCGTAACTCTAATACGCAGACTTCTATACTAACTTGATAAACTACTCACCGAATTTATCATCGAGAATAATGAAATCTGTCGGAAATGCTCTTATCATACATCCACTACGTTTTCGGTCAGCAAAAAAATATTAAATACTTGCTGGTTCCTTTACTCTTTCTTCAATAAGTAAAATTTAAATAAATGTGAAGACATATAAGGTAAATATAATTAAGAGAAAAAAAACAAATACTGTATTTTTCACGGCATAAACATTTTTAACATTTTAAATAATTAAAATTAAAACATACAGTACCTACCTATCACAAATTATAAAATACAACTAATTTTGTTAATTTATGTCGTTTACTAACAACATTTGAAGTTTTTGCTTCAGCAACATGATGTAGTTGCATTTATAAATATTTTTACAGATTACTATTATCTATTACTAAACATAATCTATGATTTTTTTAAATGAATTATTGGAACGCGTCATATTTTGTAGAATACTGAAATTATAACAATCATTCTCGTCTGAGATTATTATTTTTACAGATAAACCAGATATAATAGAAGTAAAATAGCAGGTCAGTTCGATTAATAAATTCTCAATGTATTTAAGTCATTTAAAAACAATATTAGAACAATCATCCTCTATTTTTTACATCAATTAATATGGAATAAAAATATTTATGACTATAATTTAGTTCACTTTATGTAATAATGAATATTTAAGAAATATTTAATAAAGAATATTATCTTTCAGTAGCGTAGACAAGATTTTAAAATAGAGGGGGCCAAACCCAAAATACAAAAAAAAACATAATCAACAATTAACAATAAGTTTGTTAATATATATTGTTAAATTGATCATATTTAATATATTTTATTTCATTATAATTATATTTCAATTAATTAGTTTAATTATTTTGAATAATCTAAAAATAAAAGACGTTGATGAGATTTTGAAAAAAAAAAATGTTTTTATTATTTATTTTTACTAAAAATCAAAACAAAGAATTGGTTGTAGTTAACGCAAGCTTTTGTGTAAACATTCTTTTTGATTGACCACTAAAGTGCCACGATATTTTTCATTGATTTTTACATGTTCTTTGATGACATTATCAATATCGGTTATCATAACTTCAAATTTTGCTTTTGCTTTATTAACATTCTCTTTTTTACCAACAATAGTTATATTTTCATTAGTGGAATCAGTTTCAGGCGGGAAAATTATTCTTGTATTCGTTAAATATCTAATCTGGAATCCAAGTATAAAATCATAAATTAACACATTGTACCCTTATACTAAATTATTTTAACAGCATACCTTTTTAACATTGACTCCATTTATTCCAATTAAATATTTGTGAAACTTTGGATTTATTTTTAAATCATACACATATTTATGAACTTCATCAACCATTGTCTGAATTTGCGTAATAACATTTTTAACATCATCTTCAGGTCCTTTGATAACTATAGTCTATAAATTAAATTTTAGCTTTAAAATTACTGTTTACCAGTGTTTTTTATAGATTTTAGAATTTGGGAAATTGTCTTGAAAATTTATTTATTGTATTAGGGGAAAGGAAGCAGTTTCTTCTCTTGAGACAATCGTCTCCTGCTCAAAAAGAGAAACTGCCAGATGCCAGCTTCGAATCGATGTCTGAGCGTATACCACGCATATAATAACTTATACAATTGGTTAAATTGTCATTTTAATTTATAAGTTTAATAAATAAATATATTCTTACATTATCTCCTTTAACAGTTGGTAAATTCAATGTCACATTATCCCCACAATCATCTTTTATAGATTGAATGAATTTATTCCCAAGATTTACAATGGCATTTCTAACTTTAACATTTCCCAACACCATTTCCTTTGTTATTATGTCTCCCTAAAAATACATGATTGATAAATTAAAAATAAAATTGAAAAATAAATAATCTTTATAAAAAACCAACAATTTCATTTTGTATTTCTTTAATCATATCATAAGCGATTAAAACTTTTCTTTTATTTCCCATGACTTTAATAACATCCTTATTGTCTCCTTCACGCGGTAAAAAAATTCTCGTATCAGTCTTTTCTCTAATCTAGAATATTAAATTATAGAAATAACAATATTTCTAAAGGTCGAATCACAAAAGTTAATAAATAATAATTACCTTTTTAATAAATATTGCTCTCTTTCCAGCACTAAGTTTGTGAAATTCTTTAAAAATAGGAATTTCCAACACATAGTTGATTTCATCCAATACTTCGACCAATTCAGTTAATGATTTAAATGCTTTATTTACATCATCGTTCAAACCTTGTATTTTAACTAAATTATTTCTAGCCTCAACTAAAATATCGAACCAAATATTATTTATAAGCTCTCAAAATACAAAAAATACAAACATATTAATACTATTAATTACCTGGACTGGGGAATATAATTTTAACATTAAATATTTTCTGAAGTTCTCGAACTTTTTCACCATTAAATCCAATTATCGCTCCGTGGTGACGTTGATCAATTATTATTTCCTTTTCAATTTTACTTTTCAACTTAAATATAATTTCCTCCAATTCCTAACAACAATTTTAATTATTACAAAAT